GATATTACTGATCTCGCATAGGACTAGTTTTTTACGGACTTACAGAAAAGGGGTGCCTGAAAAAAAAATCCGCCTTAAGTAAAGTTTATTTTTATTTGATTTGTCATTAAAACAAAATAAAGCACAGTTTACTCGACGAGGGATCAAACTATGGCCTGCGTCACCACAGTCGACAGCATTAACCGCCCGACCAAGCAAACTCATTACTTACACGTAATTTAACCTTATTATAGTTAATATTTGCATATAAACTTGAAGATATTTTTTAAATTGGAATCCTGTCCCGCAAACAAAGAGCTTTTGGGTCTTATAAAGTATCTAAGGTACCTCTTCAACCTTTTTTTATCATAAACTTTTTCATTGAAAAAAAAATGCTTATGGGAGGGGAGGGGGTATTTCATAAACGTACGTACTTTTTAAGGGGGGAAGGAGGGGATCAAATTTCAAAATTTTATAGCGTACGTACTTTATGGACGTACTTAATGTTTTTGATATTTACGTGTAGAATTCTAATTTGCTCATTGCTTTCCTTTGTAACATTCTTTTTTATTATTTATTTTTTTTATTTATATATATATTTCGTCATTATTAATATAAATTTGTACAACATTTTACCGTGAAATATATGACTGGAGCATGTAGAAGACAATAAGTTTATCATCTTGCTCCATTTCTGTCGTTGACAAAATATAATAAAATATAAACCAAATACAAATATAATAAAACATTTATAATACATGTGATTTTTTTTTTTTTTTTTTACAATGAACTTCATTAAATAACCAAGCAAGTAATATAAAAGAATTTCAAGAAAAAGTGAAAGAAAAAAAAATTTAAATTGAAAAAGGAAAAATTTTAAAAATAAGAGATTGTTTCATTAATGTTGATTAATTCTTAAATAGAATTCCTTTCAATTCATTTAAATAATAGTAAGATCATTCGATTTTTGTATCATGAAAGTAATTAACATCTGAGTCGGAGTTTTCGTGTAAAGAAAAAAAATTCGTTTAAAAAAAATTTAAGGCAAGAGCTTCAAAGTCACTTATTAATTTCAACATGGTTGAAAGCCTGTCTCTTGATTGCCACTTATTGGTTGAAAGCCTGCCTATTGACACAGAAGGCACGAACAACGCTAAATATCACACCTACGGCATTGATAAACTCGGGGTCTTCCAAGGTAAGTATAACCTAGATGATGTTTTTCGTTTTAAATACCCAAACAAAAGAGAATTCACGTGGCGAAATCAGAAGGTAAAATGTAGACTCGACTGAATCTACTGCCCTGATAAAGTCGCCAAAAAAGCAACATAAAATTCTCACCAATCCGTTTTCCGACCACGAGTTCGTGACAACAACCGTCAATTTTAGTAAAACTAGGAGAGGGCCAGGATACTGGAAATTAAATTGTTCCCTTTTGGAAATAGAGGTGAATAGGCAAAAAATTGAACTCTTAATTCAAAATTGGCAAGCAAAAAAACGGCCCTACAACTCAATTTCAAAATGGTGGGACGACTACAAACTTTTTGTTAAGGTTGAATTACAACATATATCGATACAGGAAAGTGCGAAAAAAAAAAATGTGAAAAGGATTGAAAACGAAATCCAACGGGAGCGACAAAACGCTAACCCGAATTTAGATAGCATCAAAGAAAAACGTGATGTTCTTTTCTTGCGCCAGTTTCCAGGAGCGTTTATTCGCACGAAACAAAAACTAATCAAAGAAGGAGAAAAACCTTCAAAATTTTTGTATAATTTGGAAAAAGTTCAAAAGCGGAACAAGTCAATTACCAAAATTCGCAAGAATGACGACACATTGACGAGTGAACCTGGTGAAATACTAAACACCCTCGTTTCATATTACAAAAACATTTACACCAAAACGAAATATTCAGAAGTTTGGGCATCTGTTCTGAATTGCGGTTTCATGTCGGCCTCTTTCCTTACGGAAAGGGGAGTTAGACAAGGCGACCCTCTCTCTCTTTTGCTGTATGTTTTTGTCGCTGAAGCTCTTGCTTTGGTGATCAGAGCAGACAGCAGAATAGAAGGTTTCCCACTACCAGTAACATTAAAACCCTTTAAAATACAGCAGTACGCAGACGATTCGAACTTTTTGCCAGGGACGTAAAATCAGTCCACTGTTTTTTCGAAAAAGTAAAATTGTTTGAAAAAGCAAGTGGTTCAGTGATCAATGCCTCAAAAACCAAGGGTCTCGCTCTTGGGGGTTTTGATCCTAAAATGTACCCAGAAATGGACAACATAGAGTGGACCAATAACACCGGTTTCAAAATATTGGGTGTTACTTTTTACACCAGGTTGAGTAATACTACCAATTTCAACTGGCTAGTAACTCTAAACAAAGTAGAGAAAAAACTCAAGTTTCTGGGACTACGTACTTTATCACTTAGGGGAAAGACTATGTTGATAAATACGCTAGCATTGTCAAAAGTATGGTTTCTGGCAAATGTACTGCCTATTCCCGAATGGTTAATAGAACGTTTGCACAGCGACACATTCGAAAATCTGTGGCAAAAGACCAATTCAATCCGGTTAAAAAAGACTTTTTTTACCCGTCAAAAGCGGGGGTCTCGGAATCCTTTCACCAAAGGAGCAAAGCCTCGCGCTCCGCCTCAAAACACTCTTTCAACTGAAAGAATGCGGAGAGGATAACACTCACGATTATTACTACTTTTCAAAGTACTGGTTAGCAAGTTCACTTATTAAATCTACTAACCAAAACCCAAGCTGGAACTTTTTGAAACAGAACAATTTTCCAAAACACTGGGACAACAAAATGTCTCAGTACTACAAAACAACTATTGAAATATTAGGCAAAAACGGGTTTATTTTTAACATTCCCCTAAAATTAACAAAAATTTTTATTTAGAAGTGGCAAAAAAAAAAAAAAGACAGTCGTGCCAGCAGAACTTTTCTGGAACGGTTCAACAAAAACAACAATGCCGTGGACCCAAACTTGGAAAAAAAACTTCACTTCCCACGCATGCGTACCGACTCAAAACATCCTCTTTCGATTTTTACACAACAGTCTACCTTCTGCGGCCTTGCTAGCCAAAAGCACAAGGCAACAGATTGTTAAAAACAACAAATACAAAACTTGTGGTAAAATCGAGGACAATCTTCACATCTTTGCCTACTGTCCTTCCTCCTTTGAAATTTGGGAATATTTTAAACATGTATATAACTCCTTGACATCCCATAACAATTTTTCTCCAACAAATTCGATTTTCTTTATCGGAACCGCAAACTTATCGGAAAAAACCCTATTTCGCAACTGCTGTTGACACTCACTCTAACCATCATGAGTGAGATATGGAACAGCAGATGCCACCACATGTTTAGTAACATAAAAATCGACCCAATGGCAGTGATCAGGGTAATAATCAGGAAAATCAGGAATATTATTACCTTAAAATATAATTATTATATCGGTAGAAACACTACGGATATTTTCTGTCAATCTTTTAGTATTAAAAATATAATATGTCAAGTAGAGAATGGAAAACTAAAACTAAACATATGAGCTAGGCTAATACACTAGCTCATTAAAAGAACTATATGTTTAGTGATGCTTTCCATTTTTCTACAAATTATTATTTTTACAACAAAATATTATTATTTATGATTAAACAATCACTGCCAGCCTTTATTTTATGACTTTTAATTTCCATATTAAAATGTTTTTCTGTAGCGTACGTAATGTGTTTTTTTTGTGTAAAAACACTATATTGTTAAAATGTTATTGTAAACTGAGTGAATGCTTATGTACAATTTATATAACGGATATATTGTAAAATTTAATATTTACCATTATGAGTTAATATATTTTAATAAATTGTAAATAAATATCATTTTATAAAAAAAAAAAAACAAAAAAAAACTTATTAAAGCCATTGATTAGTTATAACGAATAAATTAAAAAAGAGTTCTTTTCAATTTATTTGTTATCATCTATAAATTTAATAACTTAAGAACAATAGTTCTTGGTTTCTTGTCTTTTTTAGGTTGGCCTATTCTATGAGCTCTTTCTATAATAATGTCATTGCTAATTTTACGTTGTTTTTTGAACATATCCTTCATTACATTTTCGCACTCGGCCCAATTTTCATTTGGTTTTTCATATATTCCGTCCATTCTTAAATTATTCCTATGAGACCGGTTCTCTAAATCTAGTGTCTTTTTATTTAAATTGTTTATTTCTTTTTCATAACGCTTCGTGATCTGATTTAATTTTTCCTTGATGCTTCTTTCTTGAAAGTTAAGACTTTCTTTAAAATCGCGTAGGTCGTTTTCTATGCTCAAGACTTTTGATTTGTTAGTATCTACTTCTTTTTCAATTTTATCTAATCTATTAGTGAGTATTTTTAAATTTGCACTAATTATACCAATAAAATATTTTTTTTGATCTTTTAACAAGCGCTCCGTTTCTTTTAAAATATTCTTTTTTTGTTCTTCGAGTTTGTTTGTAATTAATTTCTCGATATTTTTCAATGTAATTTCCATTATTTCTTCTTTATGTATGACACATTACGATATGGAATACAATGAAATTATCGTTTCCCATCGGGCATTTGTTTTTAAAAGTTACGTTCTAAATGTATTTTAAATGTCTTTTAAACGTATTCTTAACATTCTTACGTAAAGAACGTTTGAAAGACGTTTAAAAAACGTTTAGAAGATATTTAGAACATAACTTTTAAAAACAAATGCCCGTAGGGTTAAGTATGACACATTAGGATATGGAATGAAATGAAATTATCGTTTAAGTATGACAAATTAGGATATGGAATGCAATGAAATTATCGTTTAAGTATGACACATTAGGATATGGAATGCAATGAAAGTATGACACATTAGGATATGGAATGTAATGAAATGATCGTTTTTTATTAATAAACACATAAATTATTCGTAATTATTTAAAATAAATTGATATTTTTAATATATTTATTACTTGAAAACTAAATTATAGTAAAGTTAAAAAGTAGTTATGGATTTTATTTAACTTTTTATAATTATATATACAATCAATTTAATATATCTTTCATATACAATTATAGTTTATTAGATGTATATTTAACGCAACTGAAAAAATAAATCAAACATAAACATGGTCGGGACAAAATACTAATGCCATTGATCGTACGGAGCCCATCATGCAACTTAATCGCCTTTGTTCTTTTTAAATGTAGAACCCACTTGCAAAACTGCTGCGAGCTGATTCGCTGTATCCAATAACTAAATTTAGGATATGCAGTTTACATAAATAAACCAATAAAAAATCTATGAATTAAAAAAATAAGTCAGAAATATTAAAAAAAACTCGATCCATTTTCGGTACTGAGTAATTCTGACTAAAGTGCTTTTAAAAAAAATTTAAATTTACCGTCCTTCACCTTCTCAAAATAAAATTAATTTATATAAGTATTTTCATAAATGAACAACTTGTGTTAAATGTTATGTAACACAAATGAACAACTTTTGTTAATTGTAACATAAATTGAACAACTTGTGTTAATTTTGTTGATGTAACATATTAACTTCCTAAAAGAATAAATATCAATGATACCTGATCTCCTTTACTAAAATTAAAAAAAAAAATTAACAAATAATATAAGGGCCTATTGCAAATAATATTGTAACCACTTCTTATTAACTTCCTAAAAGAATAATTCAAGCTATTGTAAACCTTCAAATGACGCTAAACTGCATGCTGACGACTAAGAGTTACTTACTTTACTGAGATAATAAACACTTTACTGAGATAATAAACACACCGAACTAAAGGTTTAAACTATAGTAATATTAAAACAATAAATATGTGGAGAAATTTTTTTGTGAAGTTCCTCGAGAACCATTTCTATTTTTGATTTAAACATTTTACAGGCAGTTTTTCGAGAATAAATCCTTGACCAACGTATGTTCTCGATTTACGTAAATAACTTTAATTAAGCATATCTAAAACCTGGCAGACAAAACAAACTTTTTTCTTTCATATAGTCGTATATATTTGAGTAAATGACTCGTTTAATTACATTGATTCAAAGCTAATTAAAACTGATTCAATATAAAAAAAGAAAAAACTTATTTTATTGTATAGAAAAATATTTCTATAAAAATAACAGAATTAATTTTATGAATATTTACAAAAATGATTAAATTAAATTCTTCGAAATTCTTATAAATAAACAAATAAGATAAATACAATGAAAATGTTGTAAAAATATTATGATATGCCGTGTTTAACTGTACATCACCACAAGTCTTAACTAAACTATTTCAACCAAATTATTTATTACATTACTAATGTGCTTGTAAAATATATATATGGCAAAACCTAATGTGAAAATGCTAAAGCAATTATGGAAGACATGAAAATGTTAAATGTATATATGTTATTTAAATAAAAATATGTTATATAATTATTTACATAAATATATATTTAATATAATTCAATATTTACCAATACCTAGGTTTTTTACAAGTCAATTTTATTATTTTATTAAAAAAGAAGTTAACAACCAACTTTGTAAAGAAAATTTACACTTGTAAAAGCTCATATCGAGATTCGATGAAAAATACTGTGATGAATTCTTTTATCACAATTTTTTCATAGAGCAGCTATATTAAATAGATAATAACTTTGCAGTTGCTGAGTAGGATTGAAAAAGAACTCTAACGCTAAAGCAAAAAAAAAAACATATTTAGCGGACCACTTTTCTCATTTTGCAACAAAATTGCTGTAACCAAATTTGATAATAAATGCCGTTGGTAAACCGTTTTTCTCGGTAAATTTTAAATTATTTATTAATGCTTTATTGATATTAGTGACCAATTTTAAATAGAGACCAAAGTTTTACAGTGACCGAACTTAAATGACCGAACTTTAGCAATATTATGTCAATGCGTATCTTATTTAAAATTATATCAAAATGAATATTTTATATCATTTTGACATAATTTAAATAATTATATCAAATAAAAACTGATAAGTTTTTAAACAGAATTAATGTGAATAATATTAGAAATAATTTTATAAAACCCTTGTAATTCATTTAGAAGCTATATTAACTTTAATTTATCTCTTCACAAAAATATTATGATAACTTACAAGAATAACATCGATAAAACAAAATTAATGTTTTTTACTCATTTCAATCACAAAAATCGTAATACAATCACATTAAGATGTAATTCTTACATAATTATGTTAATTATATCAGTTCTTACATAATTATGTCAAATCTACATGGGATACAAAAGAGTTGTTAAACAAAATTTTTATTAGATAATCACAATTCACAAAACTTTTCACAATTTTTATCTAATTATTTGGATTTGCATTTAACTTATAGTTGTTAAAAGAGATTTGATTTTCATTATAAAATATATATAAATACATCTTCGTTTTGACTTTAATTCATTTTAAAGACATAAAAATTACATATTTAAAAAAAAGTATTATAAACAATACACGGCTAAAGAAATATTGTGTATTAGAAAGAACAAAAAAATTTATATTTATATAATTAAAAAATACTTGCCTCTTGGTCAGTTACATCACTAGCAACTTTCTTAAAAAAGGACAACTGCTTTGCTGATGTTCTTTGATCTCCCATTTTGTTTAGTAACACAGCATAATTTAAATGAACAAACGGATCATTCCTTCAAAAAAAAGATAAAAATAACCTATTGTAAGCAAATATCAAATCAAGAAAGATAAGCAAACAAAACATGAATCAAGAAGCGAAAATAAGATACTTAGAATATAAAATCGATTGCTCATAAGCTTGCTTCGCATCATCCGCAGCATTTAAATACGTTAATGTAACTAAAGATAAAAAATAAAAAAATAAGATTTAAACATATAAATTATAAACAGCATTACCATATAAAGTATAGAAAAGATAATAAAAATTTGTATTATTGTTGTCAAAAAATAAAATTCGAAACTAATGAATTTAGTATTCAATAATGTTTTATTAAAACTAAAATAGGAATGTATAAAAAATTTTTTACCTGCTAAAAGCATAAAGAGTAGACCATTTTTAGGTTGAATAGTAATACCTGCTTTTAGATAATGAAAGGCAGATGCATATCTTTTTCATAATTAAAGTTAATTTAAAGTTTTGAATCATAAAATAATAATAAAAAGTTTAGGTTTGTTGACAGTAACAATTGAACCTGTCATTTCGAAAATGACAAAAGTTTTAACAGCTACTTTAAAAATTTAATTTAAAAATTTCTGAACAACTTATGTTTTTTTTTTTAAATAATAAATAAAACTCACAAAAGCTTTATATGTTTTTCATTTACTTCTGTTTCTTTAACACTGTAGATTACATTATTTTTTTTGAAAAACATTTCAATTAATGGACTAGTGTCCTTTTCGAATTGACAAACTCAATTGTATCATTACGTCAGACATTACAAATTGTATCATTACGTCAGACATTACAAATTGTATCATTACGTCAGACATTACAAGTTGTGCGGAAAGCTAAAATTACTAAGTTATCTGAAAAATACTAAGGTTACATAAAAAAATACTAAATGACCTGTAAAAAAATAATACACTCTACTTTAATGGTTATGTTAATAAGAACATTAAAACATATTGTGTTTATAATGGAAGAAAATGGGACAGTTTTCCGTAGTGGGAATCATTCACCAGCATTAGTTGTTGCATAAGTGATGCAAAAAACATGATAAAGTTACATTAGCCGATAAGATAGATGAAAATAACACAATGATGTCTGAAATTTTAATTAAAATAAGATATAAAGACAAGAAGTATTGAGAAAAAATGTAACAGTTAAAAAAATCTCCTGACAAGCTTAAACCTCTAACAGTTAGCCTTAACTAAATTTAGGTTTTTTGAATTGTCTCCAAATTAACTTAAACGTTTTCTGAAAGAGTATAATTTACTTATCACTATGTATATAGTTCACCAAATCAAAAAACTTCTATTTAGTATTTATGAAATTTTTTGGTACTATTTTGCGCCATTTTTGTAGTTGTACTTTTACTTGCAATTGTTTTCAGTGGCGGATTAAGACTTCTTGGGGCCCGGGGCTATTTTTGTTTTTGGAGGCCTTTTTATGGGCCAGTGCCTATAAATGACTAATAATAAAAAAAAAAGGTCATCTAAAATTTTTGGGGGCCCCTAAATTTGCGGGGCCCAGGGCTATAGCCCCCTAGCCCCCCTTAATCCCGCACTGATTGTTTTGCGCCATTTTTTGTCAAGACTTGACAGCATTGGGAAACTTTGAAAGAAATAATTTATCGAACAACTTTTAAATAAATGGGTAGTATTTGAAGATTCATTCAACTTATACTAGTTCCCATACCTTAAAAAATATATTTAGATTAATTTAATTAGTTTAACAGAGTCAGCAAAGCTATAAGGTTTAAAAATATCACCCATACTCCGAGCCAGACATCTTCTATTATTAAATACTTTCACATGCTAATACTTTTTTCACTTGTTTTGAGTGCTTGTTATTTGAGCATTTGGAAAAAAAAGCCTAAGCATTTTCTATTTCTAATTTTTTATTCACTTTTTTTTTCGATCACTTTTTTTTTTAGCAAACAACATAAGTTTGATTAAAAACTGAAACAACTTCAAAGTCTTGCACTGAAATAAACATAATAATTACAAAAAAAGCATTACAAAAAAATAAAATCAATCAAAAAATCGCAAACATTTATAATACTTGCTGTTAAGTTGTTTATAAATGTTTGAGACAAAAACCCATTTGAAAGTAAAGACCATAAAATGGCTGCAAAAATAAAAATAGTTTTTTTTTAAGTTAATTCAAATATGAATGTCAAATGAAATCAATGATTATAGAATAAAAAATTTTTTAATTGAGAAATTCAATATATATTAGTTTAATTTTAATTTTCTATATTCATTATTTCTTTTTTGTATTTATTCATTTTTTTGTTTACTAAAATCAGTAAAATTTATTACTAATGACATAGATAGGTAAAAAGAGCAACTACAATTGATTTCTACCACAGACATTTTGGCCAATGGCATAATAAAACATGATTAAGATAAAAACCTTTTTCCAAAGTTGACAAACTATGATAAAAATTTTTAAAATTGCGCAAGTTGTCAACCATATAATAATATGGTTGACAACTTGCGCAATTTTAAAACTTCTGGCCCGAGCTTTTTGGTGTGCTTGTGGTTTATTGATAGCTGTTAAATTTTGCCAAATTTTAGGTCAAACATCCCTCGAGAAAAGACAAAGAAACCATAAAAGATATTGTTGCATGGTCAAGCAAACTAATCCTACATTTAAAACCTAAAAAAATAAAACCATAAAAGATACAAATGCATGGTCAAGTAAACTAATCTAAATTTAAAATCTATCAAATAGAAATCAAAAAGATACTGTTGAAGAGTCAAGTGAACTAATCCTAAATTATACAAAATACTCCATTCAAACGGAGCAAGGTAAGCAGCGCGTTTTAAACAGCTAACTGCCTAAAATAAAAATAAATTAAAGGTAATACATATCATATAGATATATAGTAAAAAATAAATGTAACATAAAAGAATAAGAGAATAACATAAGAGAACAAAATCATTCATTTTCTATGTCCTCTTGACAACACTTAGGCAACAAATAAATGTTGTTGACCTAAAACTCTTTTGGCTTTAAATAAAAAGGAGTGATTGAGATGCTATCAGAATGTAAACATGAGGTGTTGCTTAGTGATCAGAATTAATAACAACCTGTTTGCATTAAAATAGGTGAATAGGGCAAATGAGACAAAACTTCCGAGCCATTCTTCAATAATATTTGCCACATCAATTATGCAATATGAGGACAGGTTTTTCCATGGGAAATAAAATTTGCCTTGCTTCTGCAATTTTTTAAAATTTTATTTAAAGCTTGTTCATACAGGTGTCTGCTCGTTAACATTGACAAGTATCTGCTAGATAACATTGACAAGTGTCTGCTCGCTAACATTGACAAGTATCTGCTCGCTGACCTTGCTAACTAGTATACAGTTTGTGCCTAAAAACAAACTATATACTAGCCTCTTGAAAAGGAGGTTTTTCCATTTTCTGCAGGTGGTATATAACATCATGAATGCATCTATGTTTACTTGCTAAAAAAACGCATAGTTAATCTCTGATTACTTTCAATTAGCTTTAACACCTCTAAGTCCAATGGAATAAATTAATGTTGTAAGTCAATCTTACAACATTAAGTTATTGTTATAAAAGTGTTGAAATCACTAATTTGCTGCCACCTCAGACACTAAACCCTGACCTATTCAGTAGCATATACTCTGTGTGGCCTTGGCTGCCGATCGGCCCAGTGTTGCCTATTTTTCAACATCACAAATCTTCCACAACTTTCTCAGGATATTTAAAAAAATTGATAAAATACTTTTAGCCAACTCAATGTTGGAATTGCTTGAAGACAATACATTACAAAAAATAAAAACAAAAAAACTCTGAAAGAATATTAAAAATTAAAAAGACTTGCATACCGCAACATATTTCTTTTTCCCAAAAAAACACATCCCAATATTGTTCCACAAGAATGGAGACATAGGTATCTCTGTAGCAGCAATTTTATATTTTGTTTGAGCAACGTCAAAATCATCTTTTTGTTGAATCATTGCTCCAATACCTAGCACTGCCTAAAAAATTATTTGAAATTACATGCTTAAAAATATATAAAATGTATTTAAAAAAAAAAAAACTTAATATGAAACTGTAAAAAGCATTGTACAAAAAAAAATTGATACAAAAAATACATAATTTAAATCTTACATCAACATTGCAAGGATCATGTACAAGAGCACTGCCAAATTTATCAAATGCCTTAGCAGGTTCATTCATCTAAAATCAATTATATATGCAAGTTCATTTATCTAAAATCAATTATACTTGAAATAGAAAATCTGAAAAAAAAGAAGAAAAAAGCAAGAGAGTTTTTATTTATGTTTATTTGATACGAGAAAAAAATCTAATGAAAGAAGCAACAGATTTTATACAAGCATTACTTTGTAATAAAATGGTGGTGCACGTATAAAAATAGTTGCATTTTTTTACTTTATCAAAAAGTGTTAAATGGAAATAAACTTTTCTGAATTCCTAGAAAAATAGTTATTTAAAAAATTTAAAACAACTATATAATAACGATTTCATTAAATCGGTACACAAATAATTAAAGAAAACTTTTGAATATTTTTCATGTAATATCAAACAAAAAACTACTAAAAAAAAGTTATATATTTTACATATATATCATACTAAATATACTAAATATAACTTGTACTAATAATATAACAATCTAATATAATCAAACAAAAAATATAAAATAATCAAATTAAGTAAGTTATTTTTTTTAATGTCAATTAAGTTTAGTTATTATTTGCTGAAAAGGTTTAATTTTGAGCAAGCAAGATGTTAAATTTGATTGGGCAAGTTTAATTATTTGGATGAATGAGTTTGGTTAATGCTAAGTAAGCAAGTTTAGTTTTTGGTAAACAACTAAAAAATGATAAGCAAACTTCAATAATAACTTAGTGAGCTTATTGACTGAAGATGCTCTTTTAACAACAGTTAAGTTATTTGTACCCTATTCCCACCAACAATAAAACAAGTTTTAACAGTAGTATTTTAAACACAATTTATATTTATTCATTTCCATCAAATTTAGAACTGGTTTTTATTTCACCCAGAAAGCGCAAAAAGTTAATTTATTAAAATAACTTTGCCATGTTGTTTTAATAACAAACAAGACTATTATTTTTTTTATTTTTCATACTTTTATATTTTTTAAAAATTTATTAAAGTGCAGGTTTGGTGTGAATGGAGTATTAGAATGCTTGAATAACTTTGATTAAGCAATTCTTATTAGTCTTGCTTAGCAATACTTATTGATTAAACATACTTATTTAATGTTGGTTAAACTAGTTTACTAATGAATAAGTGAGTCAAATTCATATTGACTCACTTATTTATTACTTTGAAAGTTAAGTTAGTGTTAATTTGAGCTATAAAAGAAGAATAATTTAAAAATAATTTTAACCTTTAAGTACAACAAACCAAGGGTAGTCATTATTTCTGGACTTTCAGGAGAAAATCTACATAAAAAAAATTTATTTTTAAAAACTTTTTTATTTTTAAAAACTTTTACATACTTGCATTTAGGGATTCTAAGATCCTAATATAAGGGTTATATACAGATGTTAATTTACTTTTTTTATGTAACAATATAACATTATTATCCAAGAAGTTAAAAATATTAATGATAATAATAAAAATAAAAAATAAAATGAAAAATCTACAAAATAATAGAACTTCTAATAATAGAAAAAAAAAATCTAAATTATTATCACAAAAACCCTGGTGTTTTTGCATCTATGGCAAATCTCAATAAGTTTTCTACTTTATATAATGTCAATAATCTTTTGATACTGACTGTTCTTTAAAACCATCTATTCAATAGCAAAATTAGCATTTGCATCGTTATCATGGTCTACTGTGATTATAACATTTGTCTCATTGTGGTATACTGTGATTCCACTACTGCCTTTACAAATATTTAATTAATTCTTGCAACTGATTCATTCTTGCAACGCTTCTTATTTTTTTACTCATAATTTAGTTTTTCTAGCAAATCTTAACTTTTAACTTGATTTAAAAATAGTTAATAACTCTTTTTCTACATTAATCTCTTCTTCTAAATTAAGTTCTCTTAATGATTTAAAATCTAATTTAAAATTAAGCTTACAATTGAATGTGTAATTTTATTCAAAAACAATGGTTTAAGTACTTTAAGATTAAGTACTCAGAAACAATAGCTTAATGATGCAAACTTTTAAAATTTGTTGATGATTCTTCTTACAATTTATTTTATTATTTATAATATTTATTAATCATTAATGCAGTACTGATGTAATAGAAGAGAGCTTATTTCATAAACAAAATGTTCTAAGTTCAATCTTCGCTACATTTAGCAGCCATGTTTGTCAAGACTTATGTTTTGTTTAAGGGTTGACATAGAGTTGCATCAACAATCTATATTAGTTAAACAAGGGGGAGCAATCATAGAAGTATTAGTTAAACTAGGGGGAACAATGATTGAAATAAATTAAATTAAAAAAAAAACTTTTTAGCTACAACTGTAAAGGGGAGTATTGAAACATGATTAACACATATATTTCAAAATCTTTTACTCAATAATTAAAAAATAACTTTTAGCACATTTCAGTTTGAAAATAAATTTAGTTCTCAGCATGGTTTGTTGACCTTAATAATCATCGACCAACTCCTTGTCAGTTATTGTATTTATGAATTAATTTAATATTTCTAGTTTAATACTGTCTTTAAAACTTTATTTAAACTTTGTATTAAAATAATAAAACTAAATAGGAAAAAAAAAAATACTCCTGTGCTTTCAGAAACACATGTAATGCTCCATCGATATCATTTTCCTTCAGAAAACATTTTCCTAACATTATGTATGTGATATCATGGCGCGCCAAGAGTAGACATTGATCAAACAACTCCTTGGCTTTTTTAGTATTATTTAAGTAATAGTAGCAAACACCTGTAAAATTAATATTTATATGATAAAAAAATTTTAACATTTGAATTTTAAATAATTTTAATCCTATACAAAGACTAACTATAATTTGAATATTTAAAAGTATTAAAAAATATTAAAAAGCTTAAAGGATAATTTATAGTCTAAGGATTAATTCATCAACATTAATGATTTTTAATAATTTTGAGCAATTTATCAAACCCATGTTATGAACAATCTCCCAGTCTTTAGGTGAAAGCTTTAAACCTTCCTCGTAAACACTTAAAGACATCTTATGCCGACCAAGGAGAAATCTAAGACAAAACAATCATTTTCCATCAAATTTAAAAAATTGTAATTAAAAACTTTTATTTCTATAAAAAAGTATTTTAAATAACTTTCTTTAAAACCTACATGATAAATAATTGTAATAAAATCTTATCATGTTGAAAAATTTTGATAAAATTTAATAAAAAAGTAATATACATAACTAAATTTATACAAAAGTTTTCATCTCATTGTTGTAATAGCCGTTTTTCATGGGACACACCTACCACACTAAAAAGTGCAAACAAAATAATAATTACTACTTACAAACAGCGTGCAACTTGCTTCCAGTTTTCAACATTTGTTTGATTAATCTTCTGGCACATTTGAAACACTTCTAATGCCTCTTGAATATTTCCCTCCTCGCGTAGTATTAATGCTGTTTATGTAAAAATTAGGTGTTTAGAAATATAATATTTTATATGTATTACTTGCAGGGGACCCCATTCCTCAGGAGATCCCATTCTTAATGTAAAAGAGACCTGATTTTTCAAGTGGAGGGATCTTTTCAGTTGGGTATATTTTTGAATTAATAATATTTATGATGTTTATAGTACCCATGGTGTTAATAGTGTTCATGTGGTAGTACCCATGGTATTCATAGTGTTCATGTGGTAGTACCCATGGTGTTAATAGTATCCATAGTGATTATGTGGTAGTGGTGTAGTGGTAGAAAGTTCAATTCCGACCACGTCCCTGGAAGTACTGCACTCAACCTGTTTCTCAGTGCAGTGACCTTCTCTGCCAAGGTTTGTGTTTTGTAGTTATGGAGTTGAGAGAGGGTTTTAACCACAATTTAAGTAGCTTCCTCAACTGTAGTGGCTTTCTTGGCCTTGGGGAGGTAAATAAACTAAAAAAAAACAAAAACATAATCTCTGAAGATCAGGATAAAGTATTTTTATTGTGATACTAGCAATAGAAAAATTACTACCCATTGACTACAAGCTTCTCCTACCATTACCCACAATTAAATTGGGGTTTTATATCAGAGTTTACCTTTTCCTAGGTTTGTTGCCTTTGCCATGTCTTTGCAACCTCATCCATACCATTTTCAAGGCTGAAAGATCCACTCCAGGCAAGGGGGTTACTAATTTTTTTTTAAGTCAGTCTGCTGCAGTGAGTAAGTAAGGCTGCTGTAGTGTGAAAGTAAAGCTACTGCAGCAAGAAAGTAAGGCTGCTGCAGTGAGTAAGTAAGGCTGCTGCAGTGAACAACAATTTTATGTAGAATTAAGTATCTAGAATTAAAAACAACTTAAATAGCTTCAGTTACTTTTATATTTGTTTTTTGTTTACAGCAAAACCATATTTTTTAATTTTTAAATAATAATTTAAACTTTTAAATAATAAAATATTTTAGGTTTTTTTTACAATTTTACATAAAAATTGCCTAATCTAAAGTATTTATCATTTAACCAAAGACGTAAGTATATAGAGGCTCAACTTATTGCAACATCAGTATTTATTTAAATCTATCCAATTAATCAGCATTTATTTAAATCCATCAACAATTAAACATTTTTCATTTTCTAAAACTCAACTTAGCATAGGGCTATTTTAAGACAAAAGTAAATAGCACAAACTATGGAATGTTTGATGTTTACATAAAGCAGTATTCTACAATTTGCACAGTTTTGAAAAACTGTTGCTCTCTCAAATGTATGCAAACCATAGCCAGAATCAATAAAAGCAAAGCTAAGAAATGCTTGTTTAAAATGTACATGACAAATCATGCAAGTAGCTTGTCTTGATAGCTTTTTACACAAGTTATCCAATTTTTCATGAGCTAGTAGTTTAAATTAGTTACTTCTTAAAAGTTACTCAATAAATTTATTCAATGCTTTTAAAATCACTTTATGAAATTATAATTATAAATTATAAGAACGTGTATTTTTCAGATTTTGTTCATTGATTTTCAGATTTATTTCAGCAGCTAAGCTATTTCTCATAATAAAAGCAAAAAAAAAAAAGAACAACAAAAAAAAGTTATATAAACTTACAACTAGTTAAAGAGAATAGAATTATTAAAAATTTAACAACATATGACGACAAATTAAACATCAAGAGATTTCACATATTATTGCTGAAATTTCAATTTATGATCAGATTAAAAACTAAAAAACTATTTTTAGAGCTCTTCTCTGAATATGATTCAATGAAAATCTAAATGTGTAACATATCAGTTGTTTTGTGTAACATATCAGTTGTTTTACAATTAAGAAACACATTGAGTTTTTTTCCAAGCCTACAAAATGTTTAATATAAACCAGCACATTCCTCGAGACCAAATAACAACTTAATCAAGAGAAGAGAAAGGAAGGTCAACTATGATTGATAGGAAAAAAATCACATCTGTATACACATTTATATTATTTATTTTGGATATGTAATTTTTTCTATATGTAAATACGGTTTAAATTTTAAAAAATTATCATCAATATCAAATATTGTTAACCTGTTTCTGCGCACAAGTGGTTTATTTGAAAATAATCTTTTTTTACAACTTGTTTCTTCACCCTTTAGTAACTTTAGCAAAAACAATACTGTTTTGACTTGTTTCTCTATGCAAGTTCTTTAGTTGAAATAAAACTTTATTTTTTATTACTTTTTCTTTAAACTAAGTTCTTTGGTTAAAATAAAACTATGCACTTGTTTCTCTGAAACAAGTTTTATTTATTTTTAAACTTGTTTCTCAAGTATTTTAATTATGAGTATTTCTATTTAAACTTATTTCTTTGTGCAGCAGCCTTATTTGTCATATATAGACTTATTTTTAAACTTGTTTCTCAAGTATTTTAATTATGAGTATTTCTATTTAAACTTATTTCTTTGTGCAGCAGCCTTATTTGTCATATATAGATTTATTTTTAAACTTGTTTCTCAAGTATTTTAATTATGAGTATTTCTATTTAAACTTATTTCTTTGTGCAGCAGCCTTATTTGTCATGTGTTTCAGCCTTATTTGTCATGGTATGTGTTTCAAAGTCGTCATGGTGTTTCAAAGTCGTAGAACTGCAACATCATTACAAAAAAAAACTCAACTATAAAATATTAAAATTTATTTTATTATAAAAATAATTAGTAATCAAAATTGATTGCGTCAATAAAAGAAACACAAGTCAACCTTGAACATATAGTGGATATTCACACATAGTATCTGATTCCAACAAGACCTCTTTTATCAATGCCTTGGAAATTAAAAAAAGTAATTCATAATAGAATATAAATTCATAAATTATTTTAATTTTTGCTAACTATTTATTGATTATCAAAGAATTTCTAAAAATTATACATAAAAAACATAAGCACAACACTAACCTTGCATGACTCATATTCTTTGCGAATATAGTGTAAATGAATCAACCAATTTTTCCTCTCAAACACATGAATTTCTGGAGCTAAACATTAAAAGAAAGTTTATTCAATAATTCAATGCAATTTTCTATATTTAACTAAAATAATTTTAAATAACTAATTTTAAATAAAAAGAACAATTAATACCTTTTCCTCGTTTTTCTCGAACACCTTTAAGTGTTTCCGCTTTATGTTTTTCATCTGTTCTTTCTAATGGCTCATTGGATGAATTTGGTTTAATACCTGATTCACTAACCATTGCTTTATTTCTTTATAAACCTTAAGTTTTTTTTTTGCATATTTAAAACTAAAAAATCAATATAAGAAATCATTGGAATTTAACTTTATGCTACAAATTTGACCTTGGCTACATCTCTAGTAATGAGCTGAAGTCCTATAGCAACCTTGTCACCCGTGTTAATTTCATGATGAGGACACTGATAGTTTAACTAAGTATGGTAACTTTAACAACTGATAACAAGGATAATAGTGTTCTCAACAATCAAAACACTGACATTGATATTGTTAACAATGGTCTCGTTATGTAGCATAAACATTTAAAACATTTTTTTAGATTTGGTAAGTGCTTATTCAAAATCTATTTCAAAAAACAACACTTTGTGACACCTAGAGCAAAGCAAATATACGCACCCAACTACAATGTTTTTATTTTTTTCACATTATTTCAAAGAACAGACTTTTATAATTAAGATTTGATGACCATAGTTTATTTTTTATTTTGTATTTGTCTAAAATGTATACACCGACTCCACCTCTACCTATTTTTTTACTTCCCTGCAGTTGACTTAATTTGAACGTTGGATGTATTGTTTCTATAATCTCACACATGCTCTCATAAATATACGAAAAAAAATTTTCTCTCTACGTCTCCAATGAAAAAATTTTCTCTTTCCTCCCCACTTGGTCTCCACCATCAACCCTTTTCCTGCATAGTAGTTTTTTTAATGCTTGCATAACAAAAGATTAACGAATCAAATAAAATTTTTTAAAAAAAATTCAAAATAAAAACTTTTGATAGACAAAGACATTAGTAAGGGATTTTAGACAAACACATAGAGGGATTGGGGTAAAGGGTTTGATATCTTATCTCATTTCTGGTTAAAACAAGTTTAAAAAAAATATATATTGAAATAAATGTAAATTGTAAAAAAGAAAAAAAAAACTGAATAAAATATTAAAGAAAATTTAGATAGACTTTCTCATTTCTCTGATAATTGGTTAAAACAAGGTTCAGATTCTGTATCAAATAAAAAGCTATATTACACAACTTTGGACTCATGTTGAGGGGTCATTAAAATTTAAATTATTTTTAAAAAATTTTATTTTTTATTATAAGTCAAGTTACAAAAATCTACTTTAAACAAGCTTCATTACATAAATAAAAATGTTTTTTAAAACTGTTTTATACAAGATAATTTATCCTTTATTGTAATATTTATTTCATTTTTAATGTAATATTTATTTTATCTTTATTTGATTATAATTTTAAAACATTTGTATGAGTACTCATCAAATTTTTATCTACTTATTTTTATCTAACTTTTATCTGTTATTTTTCTTAACTGTTAGTTTGTAATTTTGTAAATATTTTAAAGTTAATTTTTTAGTTTTTTAGTTTAATTGTGTATTTGGTACAACTATTTTGTTTTGTCTTATGTAAAAAAAAGTTAAAATATATTTTTCTAAATGCATTTTAAAGAATAAAAAATGCAAACAAACATTGATAATTCCATCACATTAGGACATTAGTATAAAACATCCTGATAGAAAATGTATAAAAAATTCATAACAATTGTACTAATATTAATTTTGCTTTTTGTTTACTTAAGTTAGTAACTAATAGTAAAATACATAAATAGTAATATTTGAGTTTAATAATATTCATTATTTAGTTGATATAAAAAAAAAAATTATAATTTAAAAAGAAATCTTTTATGATACAAAAACAAAATTTTAATTATCATAAAAAAAAAAAAAAAAACTTTTTTTAAAATTTTTTGTAAAACCAAAATCGTAAAACAATAAAAGAAAATACAAAACTTATTTATTGATGTTATGGTAACTAGTCCTGCATTTCAGTAAAAAAATGTTTATCAGCTTCCATCTGATCTTCTGGGAATAGTTCCAAAAGCATTTCTGTTGCTTCATAATAGTTTCCATTGAACCTTTTAAAATGCTTTCCAATTTCTTTGTGGTTTATAACTCTTTCCATTTTAGTTTGAACAATATTTTCTAAGCAAAAATGTATAAATCAGAAATAAAAATATATTTTCGAAATCAGAGGTGTACAGAGGTGTACAGTAATGTATCCCATTACATATACCATTGTGCATATAAATTTGTAATTGATAACTGTTTCTATAAAGAAAGTTGATAACTATTTCTATAAAATTAGTAATTGATAACTGTTTCTAAAAAGTTAGTAATTCATAACTGTTTTTACTTGTTACTCTATAAAAACAATCAAAAAATTATAACTAATACTAAATTGAAAAAATAAAACTGATGACTAACCTAATGATAAATAACGATAACATGCTTTTAGATTTCAAAATGTTACTTTGGAGCTGAATTTGTAAAGTATATTTTATAAAACTTAATATATAGAGACAGGTATATCTTTTCTAGGCCTCGTGCGCTCTGGAAGTAAATTACTGACAGTGCTCACATAATTTAATATGCCTACAATTTTCATCATGCAAACAGCTATGGTGAAAATGGCTATAAATTACAATGATGGGGATAGACAAATGATAGATAACCTTTGATGTATCAAAGTCAACTAAAATTTGATTTAACAACTTTATAATAACATATACACTACAAGTAATCAGAGAGAAACAAAAATACTTCACTTAATTTTTGCTATTACTTGTGCTGTTGTTGCTAATTATTTTACTTTTGTTCGTTGTTTTTATTAATTGAGTGTTTTCATTTTTTTTTTCTTTATATAACTTATATTTATTATAGCTTAATGATTTATTTTTAAATTAATTTAATTTACGCTTGCGTTTATTTATCAATATTGCTGTTGAATTTTTTGTTTGTTTGTTTATTTTATTTAGGTGTCACTGTAATGACTAATTTTTAACTTTATAAGTGATACCTAACCTAATTTTGTAAAATTATAGAAAAAATTTAATTTTCAATTTTGGATTAAATAAATGGATAAAAAAAATTTTAAAAATTGCAAAAATTCAAGGAGTAAAATACTTTTACACATGGATAATCTGAGTCTTTTTTTTTTTTTTTTTACAGTTCAGATTTTTTTTACAGTTCACTCCCCAAAAAGGTTGCAAACTATTAAGTTGAGAGCTACTAGAAAAAAGTTTTAGAGCACAGAAATGGTTGACAGAAGACTTGAAAAGTTGTAGGTTGTATGAGTCAGGAGAACATAAAGATGGGAGAGAGTTCTAAAGAATTAAAGTGCATGGGGAAAAAACTAGACGAATAAAAGTTTTTAAAGCATGCAGGGATACATATTGGTGTGAAGTAGATACAGTAAACAAATGAGACTTTGAAACAAAGATACAGTAAACAAATGAGACTTTGCGGAATGATGAGTTATATGAGAGTAAGTTTTAGTTAATGGAATTAGAGATGATAGGTCCTTTAAGCAGTTACCATGATATTATTTATAGAAAAGAGAGACGCAACTTTAAGATGATGGGGGAGAGGCTCAAGCTTAGCAAATAGAGCTTTTTAGCAATCAATTGTATATATGGCTTTCATGAAAGATCAGTAGTAAACGATAATCCAAGAAAGCGTAAAAAAAAGAACTCAGTTTTAAAACAAAAAATTAAAAAATTTTAAAGAAGAGAACTTCTAAAACAAAAAATATTGTTTGTTTAGTTAAAAGATTTATTGATGGTTAATAATAAAAGGTTATTTATGATGATTAAAAAAAATAAAAGTAAGATTGCGTAATAAAGATATTCATCAATAACTTGATTTTGATTTAATGTAGTGTCAGTCATGTACTCTTAGAAGCTTCTAGAAACTAAAAAAAAAAAAATCAGAATATGTATATATCAGTCACTGACGAATTATTTCTTATTAGGCTATATTATTTAAAAACATCAACATTCGAAAAAACCTCATATATTTCAATTTGTCAAAATTTAGGTTTTCGCTTATTTGTCACCATATTATAAAAATTACGTAAGCATATTAAATTCTATTGAATTAGTTAGCTGTTAAAAAATGCGCATTGGACTGCAGGAATTAAATTGTTTATTTAGATATGTAAAAAAATTCTCACACACCCTTTTATTAAGACCTCCTTCCTGTTTATTAGATCTGAATTAAAATTACCCCCCCCCCCTCATTTTTTTATTACAATCCCCCTCCCTCCACCCTTGTATTAAGCAAGGAACCAAGTTTTTTTAATATTTTGCTTTTAGATTATACTTTATATTACCTTTAAATTATTGAATAGATTTAGAATAACACTTTCTATAAATTTTCATAGTTTCAACTTATCACCACTATCTTTATCACTTAGAGTTTTAACTCACTAGGTGCGATGCATAACGAAAATTTGTTTCAAGATTTCTTTGTTACTAGGTGAGATGCATAACGAAAATTTGTTTCAAGATTTCTTTGTTACTAGGTGAGATGCATAACGAAAATTTGTTTCAAGATTTCTTTGTTACTAGGTGAGATGCATAACGAAAATTTGTTTAAAGATTTCTTAGATTTTTTAATTTTGTGAACTTAATTAATACACTTGTTTTTAATTAATACACTTGTTTTTAATTAGAAATATCTACTTTCAAAGAAATGTTAAATAAATTTATCTTTAAAGACATTTTTAGATGCTATTAGTAAATTTTTTGCTTTTATTTTACAAGCCAAATGCAGGAATGATGTAAACTTAGGTTTTAAGTATTTGATTTAAAAGATCTGTATAGATTTAAAAAATGCTTGACTTGTTTATCAGCAGTCTTATTCTTTTACTGTATGCTCTAAAATATTTTGGGCAATTGTTCAAGCTACCTCATATACAGAGATTGGGATAGTGTATGTAATCTTTTTTTGTTTTCCAAAAGTAGTAAACAGTGCATAAACTCATTAGATATTATGAAGGAAAGTATCATTTCAAGTCAAAAACTAATATGTTTTAGATTCTTTTTTTTTGTTTAGTTATGATAATCAAACTGTCTTTTAACTGTCTTGTACTTTTAGAAATGATTTTAATATTTACACCTCAGTCAAATTTTATAATTTAACAAAAATTTAAAGTTTTTACAATGAAGTTATTATTACAGTATATATATATAATTTTTTTTTATTTTACTTCACCTCCTCAAGGCCGAGAAGGCCACTACAAACGAGTAGGCTACTTATTTTGTGGCTATAACCCTCTTTCAACTCTATAACTCCGAAACACGAACCTTGACAAACAAGGCCGCTGCGCGGAGAAACGAGTTGAGCGCGGTACTACCAGGGACGTGGTGGGGATCGAACTCGGAACCACTTGTTTATGAAGCGAGCGCTTTACCACTACACCACTACCGCATGAATTGAATTTTTTTTTTACTTTACCACTACACCACTACCGCATGAATATTAGAAAACAACTTTAATTGAAATTATTGGTGGTAATTAATTTTTTAATTTAGTTTATTTTTATGTTGCCGCATTAATTTCAATATAAGGTTAATTCATCAAAAAAATATTAGTTCATCAAAATGAGGTTAATTTATCAAAATGATGTTTTTTCATTAAAATGAGGTCATTTCATCAAAATCAGGTTAGTACATCAAAGATTTTACTAGTGAAGCAAAATTTCAAATATTTGTAATTTTGTAAAAATTTAATTCATAGACATTAAATTATTATAACATCATAGATATTCTAAAATTTCAAAATAAATAAAATTGTTGAAAAAAGCCTTACCTTGAGCAACATAGTGTGTAGATCCATCATCCACAAGTACATTATAGTACGGTTGCTTGTCTTTATGTTTTAAATTGTAAATTCCCATCTGCATTTTCCACTCCTCATTCATAATACATTCATTATCCCATCCATATATTACACAAATATAATTATACCTAATAACATGCAAAATTAAATAATGAATATCTTGTTAATTGAAATATCAAAGTATTACTAATTTAGCTGACCTTAGATGCCTCATCACCATACCAATGCGATATAAGACATCTTTATTTTCACAAGAACTTTTTAACTTCTGAAATAAATAGTACAATAACATAAAAGGTAAAAAAAAAAAAAAAAGTAAAAATATGAAATAAGAATAGAACTCTCCAGAACTTTCATTTTGGAAAGCCATTATTACGAAACATTATTATGAAACATTATTACGAAACTGAGTATTATAAAAATTATCAGAAAAACTACTATTAGCAATATAAAACACATTTACATTTCAAAAAAATTTTCAATAATAAATTATTATTTAAATAAATATTATTATTACTGAAAATAGTTAAAAACTGTTCATTAGTATTTGCATAAATTATTAGTATTTGCTTGAAAATTAATTAAAATTTTACATAAATTATTCATTAAAATATAGATAAAAATCTATTAGAATTAGCATAAATTGTTTAATAGCATTTATAAAAAAAAATACATACAGGATCTCTTTGATTATGAGTTAAATTTTGCTTTTCATATGATTGAAGAAGCAATTGATCAAGAATATTTGAATCAAACCGACGACTAGATGCAATTAAGTACCTTAAATTTTCAACAACCTGAATAAATAATAAATTAATTTTTAACTATTTTTAATTTTTTTTTTACAATGAAAAGTTTCACATTAACATTTCACATGACATAATAAAATTTTCACAAACACTTTTTTTTTTTATATAAATCTTTATTTAAAATTGATTAGCTTTACAAATAATGAATTGTACAATTTTCTCAATTGCTAAAAATGTAAGAAGTGTAGCAGAGCATAGGCAAATAGCACTAGAGCGTAGGCAAATAAACACAGTTTATTAAACAGATTACTTGTGTGTTGAAAATGTAGCTGACCTGCCAATGTTACATGGCAGATCACTGACACCATCACGTAAAATACGAAGGTATTTTTGAATGAAGGATTGTTGGTAAGTTGTTGTGTTAGCGTTATTAAGAGCAAACGGAAATCTATCCGGGTTTCTACTATAAATGCGGGCTAGTTTATTGGTTATCGGGTGGTGTGTGTCATTAAGGATCTTTTTGAGGATATTAATACATATCCTTAAAGCGCTCGAGTAGAAATGGAATTGATTTTATAGTGTTGTGCACTTTTACCCATCATTCGTCCTAAATGAGATACCTGAGATAAATGAGACAAATGAGATTCTCATTTAATAAAAAGTTGTTTTGATTATATGAAAAGTTGTTTTGATTAAAAATTTTCAAGAAACTTTTTTTTTGCAAATTGGGGCCAAAATCAATAAAAAAAATTAAAAATAACTATTGATATTAACAATCATCATGCCAAGAACAAGGTAAAACACTACCCTAGACAATGCTAACCTAGAAACGCTTTGAAAAACAACTAAAGATTATAGAGTTTAGTTTAGATTTTTTTTTCTTTCATATCTAACTTATTTTAAAAAGATTAAAAATTCACTCAGCTCACAACATTTCTACAACGTTTCTACAACGTTTCTAGATTAAAAAAAAAAATTAAGTTAAAATGCATTAAGATTATGTTGTGATGCCTTGAATACTTGACAAAAACTTTATTTTAGTTTAATCTTTCTCTTTAATTTCAAAGAACTTAAAACAAAAAATAAAAAGTCTAAATGAAAATATGATGGCATAAGCACACTGCATTAACAAAGAAAATTTTTTAATAAAAAACTTTTAAGAGTAAAACTATTTAAAACAATTTTTTGAAAATATTTTCTATTATTTAGTCTGGTAAAAAAACAAAAATTGCATATTAAATAGGCAAAAACAGTAAAATAAATCACTCAAAAAGCTTCAGAAATGACTGTAAATTACTTTTAAAAAGTAGCCCCTAAATGTCGTTAAAAATCATGTTTTTGTTATACTGTTGTTAATAACAACATTTAAAGTCTAATATATTTTGATAAAATGATTGCTTGGCTCCTCTAAGTAAGTGCTCAATCTTCTGAGTAAGGAATTGTCCATAAACATAAACCTTGTATAAACTAGCAGTAGGAGATCATTTGCTTTTTTTGCGCAGCAATTTTCATTGAAGTTAAAGTACTATTTTACTTTTAGGTTAAATTAAAGACTCATTAAGGGAAAACTAGCAATCTTATTGGGATATTTATTAAATAAATTTATATTTGTGTAATTTTATGGATGATCCCTAAGATCCCATGTTCTCCTTGAGTTAATCAAGATAAGCATCAAAGATATTGGCTTCAAGTGACACTGTGCATTAAAATTTCAGCGTAATTTGTTATAAGAAACAGAACCAACTTCACATAGTTTTTGGCCTTGTGATTACCTAGGAAGTCATGAATAAAACTGTTTTGAGCCACTCTCTCAGTCCTGTTTTATAATCTTTTTGATTATAAAACAGGACTGTTGTTGAACTAAAATACCAGCTTAAAAAGTACCAACTCTTCTTCAAGAGCAGTGACAAATTGCTTAACGAGCAGTGGCAACATAAGCACTTTCTGAGGTTCTACTTCCCATAGCTACTACTATCCCATAGTAATCTTATCTTTATAATCAGACTTTGTATCCATATTAATCATACTTTGTATCCATAATAATCATACTTTGTAGCACACAGCAACATCTTGACATCTTGATGTAGTACACTTTTAGATGTTTAGAGTGAGCCTTCAAAATGGACAGACTGTCATTTCAGTTACAAAGCAACAGGGCTTTGAAGCTTTAGGATGAAATAATTCACAAGAGTTACATGATGCAAATAAACTAGAAAAGATCAGTTACATCATTGCAGAAGCAAAGCCCATCTTTCTGATTGAAGAAGTTAGAAAAAAATAGATGATCCTTTCTCTGATCTGTATTTTACACGCTTTTATTCAACAAATTCTACTGTTTGCAATTTAACTTGGCACTTTGTCAATTACAATTTTTTAGAATGATTGGCAATTAAGCTTTATATAAATTGTTGAAACTCTACAAAAAAAAAAAGCACATATCCAAACAAGAAGCAATTAATTAACTGATCTATAAGAGTTCTCTTGAATTATTATTATGCAAAATGGGGTGCTTAGGACTTTTACTGACAGGTATGGTGAAGTATGCCTTGAAGAGTTTTCACATTTTACAACTTGCCTTCATTGAACACATTTTAGAATTAAATGTCTTTATAAATTTTCCACACACATAGCAAAATGCACCTGCTATATGCAAACAACCTCCTGATGTCATTTAAATTAAATAATTGGTCTTTAAATATTATTCATTACTTTTTTATTCACCACTTACCTAAACTAAAATGATGGTTTGAGTCATCTTTTTTACTTTCAAACAGTTTTAAAAAAATATTTTAAAAAACTCTGGTTCTAAAAAATTCTCAGATCTTCTGGGTTATTCTGGCAGTTCATATTCTATAAGAATGCTGAGTATTCAGCACAAACTGAAAACTTTCTTAAAAACATAAAAATTTTAAAAATATTGTTTTCACTTTTACATAAATTGTTGAAAAACAATAGCTACTTTCTTTTTGTCTTCAGCAAAATAAATTAGAAAAATACCCTTTTAACCTATGGTCAAAGGAAAAATTAAAATTTGTTACATAGTGTAATAAATAAAATTAATAATTTTTACAAGTTTAAAGTTGATGCCATAATGAAGATATATCCTCGACAACAGTAACCGACTTTCATCATCATTTGGAGAAAGTAATAGCATTAACTCAAGTGAAGATTGAAGCGTTTCCAGTGAGCTTTGAACAAAATAAAAAATAACCGTAGTGTCAACAATTAAAACAACATAATAAATTATGTAAACAATAAATTTACTGTTGTATATCCTATATAAATTTAAACAATTAAATAATTATTATTTATTATTTTTTTTATTAAATATAAGCCATTTATTTCAAAAGTGTATAAAACAACTAAAACCATTTTTGTGAGTGAATGAAAAATTGATTTTAACACAAGCCAACAACAAAACACAAGCCAGCAACAAAACACAAGCCAACAACAATTCATTTTAACACAAGCCAACAAAAAAAAAGTCACGCAAATAATTTTAACTTATTAGAATTAGATAATGAGGAATCCAAAAATTAGACTGATTTTAATCCAACATGTCTATATTTTTTAATTATAGAATGCAGATTTTATGAATAAACAATTATTAATCCATAAAAGGTGCAGAATCTGAGTTTAACATAACACTAATAAATATAAATGATGATATCAATGACAACATGCTAACATTAAAAAAACGTAAAAGAATATAGAATTAAATGTTAATAGAATAAAAAATTGATAAAATTAACAAAAAAAAATTTTGTTTGATTTTCTACAAGAAAAAGCAATGGTGCAATCTTTTATTAAACACAAATCAACTATCATGTTCTCAACCTAGTATCCTTGATACCATAAAAAATAAACCATCTAAATCTGCGCAAACAACCTATCCATGCTGATTAGGAATGTACTCTTGATTTAAAAGTCACAAAATAATAACTTTTAATAAGTTTTTAGTATTCATGAGCTCCAAATATGGAGGCAAAAATAATGTAATTTTTGAAATGTAATTAAATATTTCACACTTGTAAAAACACTTCTGGTTTTAATTGAATGAAATATTGAAGTTTAAACTCTTTTCCTAAAAAATGAATAACTTCAAACTTTGTTTCAAACTGTCAATGAACACGTCTGTCTTCATTTGCAAGGATAGTAACTTTTGAATGCACCATATGTTTTCAAAAGACTCAATATTATAACAATTTATAAAATTATTTATTTCTTTAAAATAACTCAACAAATTGTGTAGCAATAAAATGATATTGCAACATTTAATAACAAAAATGATAACATACTATAGCAAAAACAAATTCCACTCAGCAAGTTTTGAAGCTAGCAGCTCTTGTGATTTTTTTTATAAATTTAAATTACAAAAATAAATTATTTTTTTCTGTGAGAATTTCTTTATTGTAGGTTCTATTTTGCTGTTTATCTTTATTTTATAACCCATTATTTGAACTATCAATTTCTTTATTATTTGGATTGCTAATTTTTGTTAATTGGAAACTAGAATTTTAGACAATTGACAACAGGTTAAATAGCTAATGAAAAAATTGGATAGTCATGTTTTTTTTTATTGTTTTTAACAAAATCTTGAATGCTAATGAAAGAAAAATACCAATATTTGATGTGATTCTTTGAATTCTCCCTCTAAATTTTCAGATCCAGCGCCATATTAATAAGAAACCAAATGTTTGTGTGTCAATTTTTATGTTGGTTTGTATTTATTATTTTACAGCACTATTAGAAAAGCCTCGCTTGACTCGCTATTCAGCAAAGTTACACCCTTTTACTGTATCTGTCACTTCATGCTCTAAAAATGTTTATTCATATAGTTTTTTTCCCTGCACTTCTATGCATTTGAATTCTCTCCACTCTTTACGTTTTCCTGACCCATACAACACTCAACTTTTCAAGTCTTCTGTCAAGCTTTTCCTTGCTCTTTAATTCTATTTTTTGTTTTTTGGTAACTCCCAACTTAATAGGGAAACAAAATAGATTAAAAAAAAAAAATAAAAAAAAAAAAAAATTGAAATAAAGAAATTGAACGAAATTGAAAACCTTGAATCCAAACTTGCCCAGTGTCTGTGAATATTTACAACATTTGCTATCATTCGGATAAATATCTGAAAATAAAGAGAACTTCAACAAAATATAAAAATTAAAAACATAAGAATATTAAACCATTAAATTACTTACATAATTATTTCACCTACTCTTTTTATCTTTTTATTTATTTTAATACATTCAACCCTGAAAACCTGATAAAACTAAGTGTGTGGTTACACAAATCAAGTCAAATACTCAAATTAGAAGCAAACTATTAGTGTTATTAAATTAAATACTTAAATCTTGTGTAAATAATTAACTATTAGATGTTTCATTAATTACTAAGCTGGGTGTTATGATATTCAAACTTTTCCCTCAAGTAAAAAATTTAAAGATAAGCATAAATGTATATATATATGCATATTTATCATATTTATGTATATGTATATATATATATATATATATATATATATATATATATACACACACACATACAAACATAACCTATTTTAAAGAAAGTAATTAAAAAAAGAAAAAAATCTCAAAACAATGAATGCCATTTTTCGAGCACTAAAATATTATACATTAAAATTGTTTAAAAACTAAGGAAAAATCTTTCCCAAAAAAACATGACATAACTAGTGCATAGTTGTAAGTTAAAAATTATTGGTTTATTAATCTAAAAACAACCTCTTTGGTTTGTGCTTTGCGAAATAATGTTTCTCGTTGCGCATTAGACCGACTGACATCAGGTAAAAACCTCTCTAAACATTGATTTTCTGTGAGAACTTCACCATTATTAAATGCATCCAAATAAAATTTAAATTCTTTTCTGAAAATATAAAAATTAAAACTAATTATTAAATTTGTATTAAATCAAAAGAAAAACTATAAATTTATTTACATTTATTTACTAATAATAATAAAATTAAAAAAAACAAAAATAAAACAAAAAAACAAACAAATGACTGTAAAAATATGGATTTTGTTTATATTAACACAATTTTTCTCCTCACCCATCTTTTTTTGCATTTCCACAAAGAAGAAAATGACCTGGAAAATTCACCTAAATATTTACAAAAACTTATTGAATTTATACAGTCATTTTTTACAATAAAATTACCAATGTTGATTTGATTCAAAATTTAATTTTTAAAGTCAATTAAAAAAATTTTTTTTTATATAAAATATATACTTTTAATATATATATATATATATATATATATATATATATATATATATATATATATATATGTGTGTGTGTATATATATATATATATATGTGTGTATATATATATGTGTGTGTATATATATATATATATATATATATATATATATATATATATATATATGTATATATATATATATATATATATATAAAATATATACTTTTAATATCTTATATATATATATATAAAATATATACTTTTAATATCTTATATATGTATAAAATATATAGGTAGTTATAATAAGGGGTTGTCCCCTTATTATAGTACTTATTATTATAGGGGTCATCCTCTTATTAAAGCACATACGCCAGAAATTTTGAAATTTGACCCCCTCCCTCCCCCCTGTTGCCATGCATACTTCAAAGTTCTTCCCCCGTAAAAAACACGTACTTTTTGAAATCCCACCCCCCCCCCAACTTTTTTTTTTCAATTAAAAAGTTTATGGAAAAAAAAAAGATGGATGAGGTACCTTAGATGCTTTAAACAACCAAAAAGTTTTTTGTTTGTGGCACAGGATCTAAATTTAAAAAAAGGCTTCAAATATATGCAAATATTAATTTTTATAAAGTTAAATTACACAATAACAATATGTTCACTTGGTCGAGTAGTTAATGCTGTGGACTGCGTGACGGAGACTAGTGGTCAAGTCATACTGTACTTTTTTTTGTTTTAATGACGAATCAAATAAAAATAAACTAAACTTAAGGTAGACATTATTTTTAAGGCACCCCTACTTAGTAAATCTGTAAAAAATAAGTCCTATGCAAGATCAGTAATATCGAAATCAAAGCCTGAAACCCAGTGCCAAGGATAGGCTACCCAGGGGCGTTTTAGGACTTTTTTGTTCTTAATTTTTTGCAAGGCTTTCTTATTTAGCATAGGTATAAATATACTTAAGTTTGGAGTTTGCACAATGAGTGAAAGTGTCTTATCTGAAACATCAAAATATCCTGTGGGCCCCCATGCACGTGTGTGCATTGAGGCAAACTATACCCTCTAATCCCTATACCAAACATCTTTTTATGTTAGCAAATTAGGATCTTTAGTCAGAATTTTAATTTTTCTATTGATTAGCTGGTTAATTGTGATAAATTAGAAAATTGATGTAAGTACTTTTAAATTGACCCCCCCCCCCCATACACTATTGTACGCTTTTTAGACCTCCCTGCCCCCCTATAAGCACATGTAGTTTATGGACGACCCCTAAGTTGCAATGCGAGATTATCAGCTCAAACAAAGTAACCCTTCCAAGGATAAGCCACTGTAGCAACTATACTGGAGGTTGTTTCTGTGTTCACTGTATCATCGGATAGCGAGTTCCAACAGTTCATGATTCTGTTAGTGAAGAAATTGCTTCGCAGTGCGCTGTTACAGACTAATTCTTTTCTCAGTTGTCCTCTATGACCAATTCTTGGCTCTCTTGTGATTGTTGGTACACACCATTTCACTTTGTCTATTCCTTTTAATATTATAAATTGTTGAATGAGGTCACCCCTTTGTCAATACAAAGTTAGACTTATTAGGTTGAGTTTGATTAGCCTTTTTTCATAGCTATGTTGCCTCATTGCGTGTCCAATCTTGGTCTCGCTGAACTTTTTCAAGTGTTCTTTGGTCCTTTTTCGTTGATGGTGACGAGTGCATACTGCATATTCCAAATATGATCTTACATATGTTGTATAGAGTTTTTTCTGTAGTGCTGGATCTCGCAATACAAACATATTTTTTAACAGTCCAAGAAATTTATTTGCGATCATGTGACTTTATTGACTTTTTTTTCTGCCTTAAGATCTTGACTTATTGTGACTCTATTTCTGTCATTGTTGTTGTTAGATCTCTTTTTGCGCCTGATAGTGGATCTAGCATAGTGTTTTGTCACTAATTTGTTTTGCTCGGCCAATATGCATCACTTTCGATTTACTAAGATTTAGTTGCATTTGCCAAGTGCAGCACCAATCACTTATCTTGTTGGTGTCATCTTGCAGGCTTTTAGTGTCAAGCTCTTCATTTCCTGGCCAAATTGGTGCTATTAATTTGGTGCCATTAATGAAGATGGGAAATAGAATTATTCCTAGCACAGATCCTTGGACAACACCGCTAGACACGGGTGCCCATCCTGATGTGTTGTGTTTTGTGACTGTTGTGTCACCTAGAAAGATTAGCTGTCGTTGATTTGTTAAAAATGAGCGAATCCATGCAAGCAGTTGACGTGTTATTCCATATTTGCTCAGTTTTTTTAATAAGGCTAGTATGCTGTACTAAATCAAAAAAGTTGAGAAATACAATATCCAGGCCTTGTTTTAAAGCTTTAAGCTGCTGGCAATTTATGTACGAATTACCTATGCCTAGAGCGATTTCCATGAAGTGACTTTTGATTTTTTTTTAACTATTAAATTGCTCTATTAAGCTGTAGGATAAAAAAAGTAATTAATTTTATAAAAAACCACTTTGACGATTATGTAAAAAAGTTTGAATGACAATTATGGTAGATGTAAGCACTATTTACTAATGAAAAACTGCAAAAATTTAATCTTTATTAGACTAATTATTTTATCGAACAGAAAACAAAATTGCTTATACTTAACAACAATTTTTATTTTTTTCATGCGAAGTTATTAATTGGAACGTATAGAAAAACAAAAAAACAAACTTTAAATAAATATATATAATAAAAACTTTTATTTATCATCTTAATAGGAAAAAAATATTTATGCAACTTTTGATTGCATTAAAAAAATTTATTTAAATTTCTATATAGTAATAAATAATTTATACTTAATTTTTTATTGTATTGATTTTTTACTTGAAAAACGCTAATACTTTAAGCTTGAAGCAAAGATCATTATAATGTAATTTAATTCTGATTAAAAAATATATAATTTAATTCAAAACTAATTTAATAAAAATAATTTTGTTCTGATAAAAAAATATATAATTTAATTTTGATTTTTATATATATATATATGTATATATATATATATATATATATATATATATATATATATATATATATATATATATATATATATATATATATATATATATATATATATATATATATATATATATATATATAAAAACTTAACTATAACTTAATTATATATATATATATAAAAACTTAACATATTTTAATTTATTTATACAAATGTCAAGAAAAACAATTTTTTATATGAAAATTTTGTTTTAAATGTAATATTAAATTTATTTGTTTAATATAAAAAAATTGAAATAATACTTTTTGTAATAGTATTACAAAAAGTATTATTAAATTTAAAAAATATAAAAATTTTATTAATACTTTTTGTAATTGTATTAATAAAAAATGGATGAATTTTATGACGTCAAATTCACATTAAGCTAATACATTAAGCATTTGTTATTTAAAACAAGGCCTGGATATTTAGTGGTATTTTTTTTGCCATAAGTCCATAGTTTTCAGAAGGTTTGTCGTACATGATTTATTTGGGACAAAGCTATGTTGTTCGTTCAAAAAAGGTTGTTTTTTGTGAAGTAGCTGATAAGTTCATTCCTTACTATTTTGCATGGGACTGAAGTCAAGGTAATTGGTCTATAGTTTCCAGGATCTGCTGGGCTTCCTTTTTTAAATATCAGCGTTATGTTTGTGTCTAGCCATGCTGTTGGTATTTCTCCTGAACGCAATGATACATTAAATATGATCGATAATGGCTTCGTGAATTCGGTGACACGTGCTTTTAGAATGAATGGGTGAACATTATCTGCTCCTTGCAATTTGCTTCCATCAATTTGAAGTAATAAACTCTCTACTTTGTCTGCCATGATGTTTATGTTGTCTATACTCTCATTTGTTCTATGGTCGAGTGAGTTAATTTGTACGTCATATTTTTTACTAAAGACAGACTCAAATTGGTGATTTAATATATTGGCTATATCCTTTTTACTGTTTTTTAGTTCACCGCTGTCAGATTTGAGGGCTTGTATTGAAATAGTTATTTTTAATTTGCTGTTTATATATGAAAAGAGTTTTTTGGGATTTTTTTTTGTAATTTGTTAAATTGAACTCGTAGTTTTTTCTTACTTTTTTTGATGCTTTTCTCTCTACTTGCATTGCAGTATTCCTTAAGAAGTTCGGTTTTTTCCCATTTTGAGGCTACATTTTGTTTCCACAGCGTTGTCCTAAGATAAGATTTTTTTATTTTATTGGTCACCCATGGCGTTCCTTTAGTTGTTAAATTTATTCTTTTTTTTGGAATAAATTTTTCACATAGATCATAGTTTAAGTTAAGTAATTTATCATAGCTTTCATATGCGGTTGATTTATCAAGGAAGTTTTCCAGTTGATTTTTTCTAGCTCTTTTTTATTGATTTGTAGTTTTCTTTGTAGTAATTAAGTTTTTTGCTTGAAAAGGTGTGGCTAGGTTTTTGGGCAACTAGAAAATTCCATTTGATTCCTAAATGGCTTGTTTAGTTGTTCCAAGTGGCCAGTCTGATTGTAGATTTTTTATTTGATTTACATCGTCACATATCACTTAGTCAAGAGTGGGTTTACATTGTCCATTTGCTTCAAGTTGATATTTGATGAAGATGCGAAATAAATTGGCCAGATGTTGTTATTGGGAAAATCAGCAAAAGCTAGAGAAAGAAGTACAAAATAAGTCGCATTTTTACGAAGCTTTGGTGTAAAACCAATAACAATCACAACAAATACATTAAATAACATTGTTGGGCGTTTGATAATATTACTATACTGATTGCTGACAACGAGTTTGTGGCGTTGTGTGGCAAACCAAATTGGTAAAGGTATTAACTTTTCATTGCTTTGATTAGGCTAATGTTTGATGATGGAATTAAGATATAATTTAGCGGGCTGAGATGATGATGTTGAGCGTTGTTTGTTATTGTTACTAAGTTGTTGATTGGTGATGAGTTTTCATCGAGTTATTTTTCTTATTTACATGTCAATGAGGCTGCAACAATTTTTATTGCTTAGTTTTTTTGCTATAAATTTGATCGCTCTTCTTTGTATAGCACCCACACAAGTACACCATTGCATATCCCCCAATAACCCAATAGTAGCGCTTTCCATTTCTTTCTTTTTTTGTATCTCAAGGTTTTTCCATTTTCTTGTTCAACATGAGTTAGTTTGCTGTAACACTCATCTCTTTCAATTCTTAGTCTCTTTTCTCTGTCTCGTTCTGTCTTCGTTTTATCAATACACTTTGTTGCAGCCTTCCATTTTTCTTAACTTGTTACGCTTCTTTAACAGTTCAATTTGGCTATTATGGTTATCGAGTACTACTATTGTTAGTAGAGGTCATTTAGTTGACTTATTGTGTTTGCAAATGTGTTGTTTGTACTTGTTGTTCCATTTGACGAGTCTACTTGCTATTGTTTATTTATTCTGCGTACACTTTTTATAATTTCTTTTTAGAGCCCTAGGGCAACTATCAGTGATTCAATGCTTTCCTCATCTTGTTTTTTTCTTTCTTCTGGATTTTCTAAATCACATTCATTGACTCCGGTTATAATTACATTATATTCAATTTTTTCTCTTTCGTTCAGTTCTCAAGTGACTTGTACAACAATTACTTTATCTATGTCTGTTGTTTTTGTACCCTCTTTTACAATATCCGCTAGGGTGACTAAGTTTGTTACTCCGCTGCTTGTTGGTTCCGCTTGTTTTAGGATAGTAATTTCTTTTTCAAGATCAATTTCTTTTTGTTTTAGAGTTGTAATCCTCTCTTTGTTATTGTTGTCTAGGCTTTCAGCAAGCTGTTCTCTCTCCTAAGTTCAAGGACATGAGCAGTCAGCTGCCTTATCCAGTCCAGCATATCAACTTGAAATTGAGTTTTTTGTCATTGTTAAGAATATAAGGAAGTTTATATATATACATACATATATATATATATATATATATATATATATATATATATATATATATATATATATATATATATATATATATATATATATATATATATATATTTATATATACATATATATATAAATATATATATATATATATATATATATATATATATATATATATATATATATATATATATATATATATATATATATATATATATATATATATATATATATAGGCTCGGACAGGAATGGCATGCAATTGAGCGCTATTGTTGACCAAGAAAATGGTTTTATTTTTTGACAACTTGACCACAATTGTTTATATGTTTTGATGATTTAAACATTTCAGAAATGCGCTGAATGTAGAAACACTAAGCTAAACTTAAACTAGAAAAGAAAGTTTAAAAAAAAAACTATTGAAAAAAAATCTTAACAAAAAAAGAAAAGAAAAAAAATTTATTACGAAAAAGAAATTATATAAGCACTAAAATAAAATAAAAAAATTAAACTTGAAGCAAAACATTTTGTTACATATATAATTGAAATAAATATTATTAAAACTTTTTTTTTATTAAAGCTATGCAAAATGCTTTTAAATTAAGTAATAAATTACTTCTAATGATTGTTTAATAAATTTTATCAAGTTTATTAAAAAGTGTTGTATATAATGTTGCATGTAATTATTTTAATAATTTCAAGCTTTAATTAGTTTTAAAAAAAAGTTTAGTTAAAAAAAAGGTTTCAACTTTATTTACAGAGGAAAAAAATTAAATAACAAAATGCCCCTGTGATTCAAATAAAATAAACTGTTAACAAGCAAATTATTTCAATTTTAATTTGAGCATTACAACTTTATTAATAAGCACTTCACGTAACGAGTTTAAAAGTTATTATAAAAAATTTAAACTTATTCATTCCTATCGTAATTAAATAAAAAAAAAAAAAATTTAAAAAATATAACTTTTGTTTAAAAGATTTTTATTAATACTTTTTATAACATTATTTATTAATTAACACATGCATTTATGTAAACAATCATTATAATTAATTTTATGGCTTTATTTAAAGCCATAAAATTAGATTAAAATTTAATTCATTTTAATTATTTTTAATTACAATTTAAATCTCTTTTTTCATTTTAAAAAATGAAAAAAAACTCATAAACATTCTGACCCCTTGTAATGTTAACCCAAGCTTCTTTGCAATAACGATGTATAGCACTCCTAAGCTTATTGGGATTCCAGTTCTTCTTTGAAGGACCTAGGACATGATACAAATAATTATTTTCTAATGAGAAATTATACCTAAAATAAAAAACTTTACTACATTCTAATTTAAAATAATACTTTATAAAAAAAAGAAAACTATAAAATTTTTATTGGCTTATTTTCATTCATAAAATTTCTTACCAAATCTATAAATGAGTTATGAATGTCATAGTAAAAATCTGAGTTTCCTTGGAAACGCATTTTACTATAAACTATCAAGTTAATAGCTTGTACAAGTTCCATTACTTGTTCCAATGAAGAATTTTGAGAAATGTCATCAATATTTACACCTGTTAAAAAGAAATCTCTGATAAAGCTGATAAGTCAATAGGATTACTGCAATAGTTCAAAAAAAAAAAAAAGTTTGCAAAAGGAGAACAACAACATTTAATTTTACCTGTGTTTTTTATAAGGCTAACAACATCATCAATCTGATTCTCTATTGTTTTTCTACTAACAAAACTATTAGGGTTGCACCATTTTGATATTAAGACAGCACCTTAATAAAACATTATTAGCACCTTAAAGAAAAATCAATATTAAGTCTGCAACTTGGGGTGTCTCAAAAAAAAATTATTTAGTCAAAAAAAATTTATTCAGTTTTTACAACTATTTACATTCAAAACAGATTCAGCAGAATAAAAAAACATTAAATTATATTGTGAATTATGTTGGTATTTATTAAATGCAAATTATATTGGTATTAAGTATTATTTTTATATTGTGAATTATATTGGTGTGCCAACTCTATGTTAAAGAATAATTTACTTTTTTTAAAAAAATTTTCTCCAAATTATGAGCCATGCACTTTAAAACAAAGTATGGTCATACTTTAACAACACTCAATAAGTTTTTTAACAACACTCATTAAGAACAAGATATTTTAAAAGAACAAGATATTTTAATAGAACAAGGACAAGATATCTAGAAGAATTTGATTATTATAGTAATTTATGGAAATTTTAAAATAAATTTGAGAAAATAATTAAATTTGTAACCTTTTTTATATTAATAAAATTAATTATAAAAAGATCATAAATTACAAAGCTTTCTGCAATTTCTAATTTTAAAACTAAGCAATCATTTGACTCAATTGGTCCAAATTATATTTTGAACTTAATTTAGATAATTAAATAAAGTTGGAGTCTGGTCCAATCTCCAAAGTTGTAGAAAACTAAAGCAAAGCTTTAACATTTATTTTAGAAGCATTCAAAAAACAATAAAATAATAAACCATAAAAATATGAAAATGAAAAAGCTGATAACTTACAAAATGTCTTTAAAAAATGATATCTAGTCTAAATGCAACTCTTTCCTCGATTTTCTATATTTAATAACTTCTTTCAGCTGCTGGTGATGTAACACATTCTTGGTAATGGCATTAAGAGTGTACAGATGTTTTTAGCTTGTTTTTTTTTCCTTTTTTTCCAGCTAAGTTTTCTTAGCTGGAAAAAGAAGAAATTTTCTTCTCTTCTTAAGAGATAACATGTTTTGCAATACTTTGACCAGCAACTGACTTTTCTTGTATGAAAAGCTCTTTTTTTAAATGCTTGTGTTGTGCTTTAAACTTGTCAAATGGTAATGGCAATGAGGTTGAAGACATTGATTAATAAAATATTTCAGAGAGCTAATGCCTGTTGCTTGATATTATTGAGTGGAAATAACAACAGTATATTGAAAACCAGCAAAAGTGTGCACCAGTGTACCAACCAGCGATAGAGTACAAATGTGTAAAACGTTTGCCATTCTAATACATCTGTTCGACAGATAAAAATTTTCTTCATACCAATTCTTGTGTTTTTTGTCTGTGTAATACTTAGTGAAAACTGCCTTTCATAATTGTGAAAAAAAAAAATAATAATAATAATTTTAAGCAATTGTATATAGACTACATTTTTATTCAATTATTAACTTGTTCAATTTTTAATTTATTATCTTCTTATTTTTTTTTTTCAATATCTGTAACAAACATAAAAAATAAAAAGATAAATCATTAATTTTTTTTATTTGTTCTTTTAAAGATTTTATTTTTATTTAAAACTCTTTTAGAGGTTTACAAAGCTATTTGGAGGAGCACAAAGTTTTCAATGTGCACTTTTGGAGGAGCACAAAGTTTTCAATGTGCACTTTTGGAGGAGTACAAAGATTGTTTTAAATGTGCACTTTTGGAGGAGCACAAAGTTTTTAATGTGCACTTTTGGTTTATTTTCAAAGTAGGAAAAAGCTGACTATATTTTCAGCTATTTTCTATTAATACTATAAATAAATGTAAGCTTTTAACAGTTAAAACTGATTATAAAAAAAAAAGTCTGTAAAAGCTAACACATTGAGTTTAACAAAACTATCATAATAAGAATTAAAATGAAGAAAAATATTATAATTATAACAGCTAGAAAGGTTATATGGAAAAATAACAAACTTTTTGAAAACCTTCATTATTGCATAACAGTCAGTCATGGAACAAAAATTTTTTTGAAAGTTGGGAAGTTAAAGTTTGGAAGAAATTTAGTTAAAGGTTATAAAATTTTGAAAAATTTATTTGCTGTAAAATAATGTTTAAATTGAAAGAACCCATAGAAATGGAAAAAAGAATCAAATATGCAAAAAAAAAGTTACAGTTTTGAACAAGTTTATTTAAAATGGAAAAACAAATAGAATTCTGTTAAGGAATACAGCCAATCAGAAAAAATAATTAAAAACTTATATATTGATTATCTAATGGTCTAGATACAAAAATTTATTGCTTGAAATTTTGTAAAAAACGCTTAAATATTTTTTAGATTGGCTAGTGTTTTATATTTATATTGACTGGTGTGTCAAAAAGACAAAAAAAAAAACTCAAAAAAGACAAAAAAAATTGAAACTCATCTGTTTCATAAGTTATTATTTTACAACAAATTATTTGTTTACAAAATTATTTAGTAAAAAATAGCAACTCTTTAAAATTTTTTGAATTGAAGAGCGTTTCTAATACGTTTTTAGTACATTCTTAATACCAGGCATTATGTTTAATATTTCAAACAAAAATAAACAAATGCATTTCTTACTAAAACAATTATTATTAAAAGAGTTTCTTAATTGACAACATAATACACACTGAATGTTAGATGGTCAAATGAAAAAGTTTTTGAAATCCACCTTCAAATAGTCAAGTTAAAACTTTCAACAGCATTCTGAATTTTACAATGAAGACATTTTTTTAAACTGATTAATGATTGTTCAAACTAGATTATTAAAATTTAAACATTATCTTAAAAGAAATCTGAAACTAGTTTGTATGTAGATGTAGCATTTCCTTCATCTCCTTTTTATTTGCACTAACTGTTACTACCAATAGCAGTCTTCTCTGTTTAGCCAGCACTTTCATGCTCAAGTCTTTTCGCGCTTGCCCATACAGCTGCAAAGACTTTGGCGAGCACAAGCAATTGCCAAAAATATAAAAGCGTTTTGTTTTAAGTTCCAACAAAAAAATTTTTTGTTTATTTGTTAAACATTTATGAAAAATGCTTTTTTTTACCTGTTTCTTTTTTTATTATTTTACCTGTTTCTTTTTTTATTAATTTAAGTAGGGGAAAAAACTGAATTTTTTAAATCACGCAGGCTAACTTAAAAAAGACCATCCTGTCAGCGCTTTTTGTGCGCTGGCATTAAATTTCAAACGGAGAAGACTGCAATAGGGCAGTGCGGGTAATGCCAATTATTTTTAACTTTGATGAAACAAAAAAACAATAGTTTAAGTTTTATATTGATTTAAATTTCCAATATTATGACAAATAGCAAAAAATTCTAAATAAATAAAAAATAATTAAATAAAAATAGATATTCAATAATTAAAAATTTTTAAAGTCAATTAAAACAGCTATCTGCTAACTTGTGGAAAGACTGTCCATGTTGGTAACTTGTAGGTAGTCCGCCCATATCTGCTAACTTGTGGGGAAAATCTTTAGGAACTAGTTTTATAATAAAGAGTCATCATAATCAAAACACCCACTTTTATTTTTTGTTGCATGTTCACTGTTTTGAATAAAAATGTGTTTTGGTAACATTTTTACAAAAAAAAAATTAAACTAGTTTGTAATCAAATTTATATTGATTTTAATTAATTAAAACCACAACAAGTATATATTTCTGAAAAATATGAACTGTTTATTGGGCAATTTTGTGAAAGACAAGAAAACTAGGCAAAGTTAAATACACATGGAAAATAACATTGACCAGTTTTAATGCAGTATGCTTATTTAAATAAATTTATAGAAATTTACTTTCAACCCTATTTTTATTATTTAAAGCCAAGAGCAAACAGATTACTAGCTGATTAATTGTGGAAACTCTAGTAATATAGCCAAAACTTACATTAGCATTTACATTACAACAGTAGTAATTACATTACAACAGTAATACTGCCAAAATTACAAAAACTAAATCAAAGGCAGAATAATCAATAAAATATATATAATTATTTTCTTTGAATTAAAAAGGTTTTATTATATAATAAAATTGTTACAAGAAATTTTAATGTAAATTTATTTAAAAAAAAAACTTTTATTAAATTGTATATTTAGAAGCAAAATCAAATCCAAGCAAACACTGTGAAAAAATGTCACTTGACAATGTCATAATAAATTTAATTTTAAACAAAGGCTATAATCTATAACATAACTTTATTAAGTTGAATCTTTTTTTCCATATATTATTTACTTGAGGTAAAGGGGATATAAAAATTGATCCAAAAATAAATAAACAAATGAACTTTTTTTATTTTTTTTAATGGGATTTCACCTTATGACAACTATTTTCATGCCCTGCTACATTAGAGGACTTGTTTTTTTTTTAACCAAAAGCTTAAGAAATTACCTTTGAGTTAATATACTCCCTAACTATGGGCTCTTGGGTCAGTTAAAGATGAGTTAGCTAGAGATTTTGCTTGTGGCTCCTTGATAGTGGCTATACAACACTTTCTTATATAGCACCAAAATTTAGCTTAATGATTCTGAAGTCAAATGGTAGCAGGGTTTCTGAAACATTTTAGAGAAGTTGATTCTATCAACAGCTATGTTGCGCATGTTGTCATACCATCATATTGTTTTAATTTATTTATTACAAATAATGAAGTATATTAAACTTATAAGACCTATTCACTCTTTGTAAGACTAATTTAAGTTTAAGTTCAGCTGTTTCATCATACTGTTGTCATCCTTTGATTCACTAAGACAATTACATGCTAGGCCTGGGCATGCAATGTCTTTATATAGTAACCTGATTTTATGATAATTATGATATATTTAAATATTAATTCATCTAATTATTGTCAAATCAGGTTACAACATTTTGATTCAGTTGCAATACTTTTTTTTCTTTATCATTTTTTAGAAAACTGCATTCTTTTCAATGTTGTTTGTGATCAAATTGACCAAGACCTTTCTCAATATCTCTCAGCCAAGCTTGTTGTTACTGGTGATATAAAAATATTATTTATAAAACTTTATTCTGCAGAAAAATGTCTTTGAAGCTTTGTAGATTTTTTGTCTGTGAAGATTGTAGTAATAAATAAATGCAATACATGCTTATGCAAATAAAAAAAAACTCAAAACTTAACAAAAAAAACTTTAAAAAAAGCAAATGAACAGTGTTGTTTCAAAGCAACCAAAATAATATGTTGAATCTCATGCTGTTGGTGAGCCCCCTCAATACTTATCAGCAGGAAAGTATCTAATAATATCTAATCCTAATATTTTTTTAGTCTAACTAAGAAGGTTTTGTTGATGATTGTTGTTATTAATAAGAATGTAAAGTGAATTTATTTTGCATTTTATTTTAGATTGTATTTACATGTGTTTAACATGTGATTGGATAATACCTTCTATAGTGAATGTAGTAGGAAACATACCCTAGAAGCATAAGTAGGAAGCATTTTTCTAAAACCATTTTCTGGCAAAAAAGAGAGCTGCATTTATTTCATGCAAAATTATTGATTGTATGAAAATAATAAAACCATATATGCAATACTGTTTTATTTCACAAACATAATATGCTTAAAATTATCAAAAACTGTAATAATTGGCATGGAAACCGTAGAAATGGGTATAAACTTAGCTAGTAATCATTTTAATGATAGACAAAAAAAAGTACTGAAGGTTTCAGAGCACTTTGATTCGAAAGGGGAAATATGGAAATAAATATAAATAATTTGTGACAATAAATTTAAATAATTTATATTTTTAGATGATTGGAAGAGAAATCTTTTATATATGAACTTTGAACAAACTGAAATTTTGAAAAAAATTAGAAAGAGTTGCCCATGAGAAGAATAAAAATGTTTCATTTTTCTCATTGGCATTGGTTGCATTAAAATTTTTTTATAAAAAAAATAATAAATAAAATAGTTTGATAGGCCTAATTGCAAAATTATATAAAGCATGAATATAATTAAATCATTTTATAATACCTTTTAATAACTATAATGATACCTTTCAGCAGTGAATCGTTAGTAACAGCATCATTCCATTTTTGTTTTAACTTTTTGTAGAACACATGATTGTAAATCTTCTCAGCATAATATTTTGTGTCTAATTCACATGAGCTATAAGAAATAAAAATAAAACTTTTATAATTTTTTAAGTTTTTATTTTAAACTTTTTTTATGTGGAACTGTTTGAAATTATTTCCATTTGTTAGATCTACTAAATTATTTCCATTAGTTAGATTTACTAAATTATTACCATTGGTTGGATCTATTAAATTATTTCCATTGGTTGGATCTATTAAATTATTTTCATTGGTTGGATCTATTAAATTATTTCCATTGGTTGGATCTATTAAATTATTTTCGTTGGTTGGATCTATTAAATTATTTCCATTGGTTGGATCTATTAAATTATTTCTATTTGTCTATTTAGCTAAGATGACTACTAGAAGAAAAGTTACAATTTCTAGAGAATCTTTAGACAAAAAAAAGTGTTTAGTGTTATAAAAAGTGAATGTGCTCCTATTCAGGCTTGGTCGGGAAGCGGGTGCAATCGCACTCAATAATTGAGCACGGAAATAATATTTAGTTACGAAAAACCGGCCAGATTTTTTAGTTGTTTTGAGAACATTTCAAAAACAAACAAAAAAGCGCAAAAAGATTAACTAGACCGATGAGAGACAGTTAAAAAAAAAAATAGCTTTTAACGCAAAAAAATTTTAGGCAAAATAAACACGATTAGAGCAAATATTTTTGAAACGTCGCTTTTTTATAATTCTTTTTATAAAGTGAAGTCACATTTTTTATATAAAGTAACAACTTACTATTAATGATTGTTTAATAAGGTAACAAATGTTCTCCGATTTATCAAAGAGTATATATAAATTTTATTTATATACTTATGTCTTATTTACAGTGCTGGATTGAGGAGATGGGGGTGGGGGAGTAAAAGGACTATAGCCTCGAGACTCATAATGTTAGGGGCCGCGAAACAGTCAAGAGGACCATTCGGTATTTTTTTCAGTCATTTTTACGCTGTGGCACATAAAACAAGCCGCCAAAGTTATGCAGTCCCCGGCCCTGAAAAGTCCAACAAAATTCAACCAATAAAACTAACGCTAGGTGATTTATTTATTAATAAAAAAGTTTTTTTAATAACTGTTTTATTCTTTGCGTAGTTTGAAAAGTTTAACACATTTAAAACAAGTCTTTCTTAGTAAGATGAACAAATGAAATAATTAAATCATTGAGTTACTGTAGAAATTCAATTAGCTAAATAGAAATTAACCAAAAACGTTAAATTACTATGTGAGGAGGAAGCGGAACTGCTTCACAATAACGCTGATGATGTTTAGTGTGTGGGTTTTATAATTTTAATTAGGATTTAAAACAGAAAAAAGTAATTTTAAGTTTAAGTATAACAAGTTTGTAAGAATGGCTGAAGCAAAAATAATTGAAGTTAGTAAACAAATTTCTAAAAACTTAAAACCTTTTCTTTCTTGCGCGAAAGTAATCAGTTATCGGGTACACTGAGGAAAATGGATTAGTGGTTAAAATTATTTGTATTAACTTTGATGATTATTAATTATTTATTATTAGAAATATCGGTTAGTATTTTTTGAACCAATAGAATTAGTTGTTCGTAGATTTGGCGGGTTTTTTGTTTTTTTTACTTTTCCGCACAAAGATTGTTTGAGAACAAGCAAGTTTATGTTTGTTTCCATGTATGTCCGTAAACAAAATTTACGTTAAAATAATGAACTTAATTAAGGAAACATACATAAACTTAAATGTTCTCAAAACGACTAAAATATCTGGCCGGTTTTTCACAACTAAATGTTATTTCCGCGGTCAGTTATCGAGTGCCATCGCACCCGCTTCCCGACCAAGCCTGCCTATTGTAACTTTTCTAGTAGATTATATCTCTGTAATAAAATTTGTGGAACATCATCCTCCTCAATGCAGGTAAATTTTATGTTTGCCATATCTCTAATTGATAGAACATGACTAACACAAAATTGTCTTGTTTCATTATAACAAATAAAATATTCTGCACAAATATAACTATTTCAAGAACTGTATTTTTAACCCTAACTTTTCAGAACACTCTACTAACATTAAGAACTAGAAAGTTCATGGACGCCCGTGGCACCTGTTTTTAGCAACCTTTCACACTTGTAAATGATAATTATTTTGAGAAGTGAAGTGTTGCCAGTAAAGGCAAATAAATCATATATATATATATATATATATATATATATATATATATATATATATATATATATATATATATATATATATATATATATATATATATATATATATTATGCATACCTAATGAGTGTTTATAAGTGAAAAAGAATTGAAATAAAAAATATAAATAACTTAAAACAAATGTTAAAAATAAAAAATTCTTTATAAACTATATTACTCTCAAAACCCTAATAAAAAGGGGGGGGGGGTGAGGGGATTGGGAATTGATTAAGTTTTGGAAATTTTCGCACCCACCATTATTAATTTTTAATTGTTGTCAGCAAAAACTTTATATCTCAAAACTAAAGAAAAATTAGTGAAAATTGGCTTTAAAAATTAGAAAATAATTCTTTAAGTCATCAATAACAATAAAAACTTTCAGTGTAAACAGACTTTCAAAATTGCTGACCTGGTAAATCTTGGAAATTCTGATCTTATTTCAACATATTAAATTTTATTGAAATTATGTTAAAACAGCGGCTCGAAAATGCGCATTTGACCACGCTAGAATTAAAAAGTTTTAAGCGTATTTTGTAAAAAATATTAGTTCGGATTTATAAACTAAACTTTTTAATAAAAAATATTTATATTGAACAGTAAAAAAATTTCCACTCCCCTTTTTATTACGCCGCCCCCTCTCCTGTTTATTAGATCTAAACTAAAATCCACCCTCCTTTTATTCCCCTTCCCCTTTTTATTAAGGACTCCAGAATAAGAGCATTAACGATAACATTTTTCTATGAAAGCAAGACAAAGCAATGTACATTTATGTTATTTATTAACCTAATTACTTAACTATTTATTAACTCCCGTGTCTTTTATTACATTAATATTTATTATTATTAATATATTAGCATCAATCAGTTAATTAATATAAAAATATTTTTAAAAAAATGAAAATAGACTCACATAGAAATTTAACCCAGAGCGCAGGCTCCACGATCAAATTTATTAATCATTATACCGCACAATACTGAACTCAATGAGTTAATAAATGAGTAATAAAATAAAATTTTAAATAAAATTTCTGAAAACATCCCATTAAAAACACACCAATTAAACTAGGGTGCATACCCTTTTCTACATAAATAAACTTTTAAAAAACAAACTTTCAAAAACCAAATTTTTAAAAACCAAACTTTTAAGAACCAAACTTTCAAAAATCAAAGTTTACTTCTAAAAACCAAACTTTCAAACACCAAACTTTGCATTTTGGATACAATAAAATGTACAGTTTTGTGTGAGTTATGTTTTAGCAATTAGAGACTTAAAATTCAAAACCTTTTAGGTGATGTTAGTATTGCAGAATAAAAAAATTTAACACAAGTTATCACAGAGACCCAACTTACAGGAAAAGATCAATATTTAAATACATTTTGTTTTTTTGGGAAGTTTTTTTTAAATTGTAAACATTTTTATTAATTAAATATTTTTTGATTAAGGCTTCATTATATTTTGTTTCTTGAAAATAGTTTTACAAGTAGAAACATTACTACATTCAAACATAAAACCAGTGATTATTGCAAACATTAAACCAAAAATTAAATTATAAAAAATTTAAGTTGAAAAATCAAATTATTCTACTTATGTTCAAAAAAAAAAATTTCTTAAAAAGCTTAAACTTATGAAAATATAATTACTTATTCATGTTTTAAACCAAGTTTTTTTCTCTCACTTTTTATTGCAAAACAACTTAATAGTAAAAACTAAATGAAAACATTAACTTCATCAAAAATTTTTGAATGAAAAAATTAATTATATTTAAATTTTCAATAGTACACTAGATCAAGAAATAAATTAGAAAAAACATAGTTCTTGTATTTTTTTGCTTTGATCTTACTCATTTGGTCCATACATATAGCATGTTTTTAGCAAATATAAAGTTTATGGAGACAATGTAATAGCAAATATGAAGTTTATGGAGACAATGTTTTAATTTATTAATTAGAACAATTCTATAAAATTTAATACTTCGTTTTATAGTGAGGGTCAGGACCATGAGGGCATCTAAACCCCCTCCTCAAGATTTTTTTTTTTTGCTTTTTTTATAAATCAATATATTTAACACAACACGATGTTTAAAAAAGGTAAGTAAAGTAAGCTGTTTATAAATAGAAATTTAATAAAATTTTGTGGTGCAAATTTTAAATTTTATAAAAAAAGTTATTAGGATAAAATATTTTATAATATATATATATATATATATATATATATATATATATATATATATATATATATATATATATATATATATATATATATATATATATATATATATATATATATAAACATTTATGTATTTGTAATCTAAGAAATTACAACATGGTCATACCCCTCACTATTTATCCGCACTTAAATAAATAAATATTTATTTATGGGAGGGACTGATAAAGATTGATTTTGTGTGGTGTTTTTAACATTCGTTTAATTTTTTTAACTTTCGCTTACAATTAAGTTTAGATTAAATAAAAAATGTTTTAATTTCTTTTTAGGATTTTCTTCTATTTATTTTGTCATTTTTTAAGATTTTTGTTTTTAAATTCAATTTTTGCATTTTTTATTTAGATTTTTTTCTTTTTTCAGTTTAAGGATTGATTATTTTAATTTAAGTTTGCTTTGTTTTTTTTAGCACATTTAAAAGCGCTAATTGTAAAAACTTACAAGGAGTCGGGACCAAATTGTCAAAACAAAGTATTATATGCATGGTCATGTATATTGCGTATGAAGCGTGCGACTGCACACCTCATTTGCAAAGGCCTGTTACAGTAAATTAAAGACTTTTATAGTGAGATAAAATTTATAGTAAGATAATATAAAGAGGTTATTATAGTACATTATAAACTCAAAATAATCTCAATTTGTACAAACTTCTTAAAAGTTTTAGTAAAAATAACTTTATTACAATAATTAGTAATAATAACAATTAAAAGAAAAAATACTTTTTTAGCGTAATCAATGCACATATAAGAATATCAATTTTCTTATCTTTTTCAGTCAAAAAATCTTGTAATTCTTCTTCTATGATGTTCTCTGCAAATGTGTTTGGCACATAAAACTTTCTTGCTATTACTGAGATTTTAAATTTGAGTTTCTTATCAACAACATGCAGCTCTTCACAAAGACTTCTATAGCTCAATGTGACAGGTAATTTACAGGACCATCTGTAATATAAATATGTGATTACATAACTATTATGTGATTTGTAATTACTATGTGATTTATTTAATGTTATGTAATTTGATCAATATGTAATAAGTTAATATGTAACTATAAATATATATATATATATATATATATATATATATATATATATATATATATATATATATATTTATAGTTACATATTAACTCATTACATATAATATGTAATAAGTTAATATGTAAATATATAACTATAAATATATATATATATATATATATATATATATATATATATATATATATAATATATATAATATACATATATATAATGTAAATATATAATATATATATATATATAACATATTTTTAAAACAACAGTGTATTGTTTTTTGAAGCCGAAATATTATAATATTTGTATTTATTTTTCCAGATTATCATAATTTAATCTTTCCTCTTAAAAAATATAAATGAATAGTTCATTAAAAAAAATCTTTAAACTAAATATTTTGTTATTTTCAACACACCATATCATCTCATCTTAGGAAACTAGTTTCCAAAGATGGCCTTTTTTAATCAAAAAAAATTATTTTGAGTTTTTTTAATAACTTAAAAAAACTCAAAATGAAAAAAAAAGTCACAAAAAAAAAATTAAATAGAATTGTATTTTCAAGGACTATACTTTAGTATAAAGCAATTATCTTAACCATAAAAAAAAACAATAATAAATCTTTCCTTTCTCTAAAAAAAGTTTGCAATATTATTTTTTTAAAAAACATTTGCTCTTGAAACACCAAAATAAAGCTCCATGGAGAATAACTTCGAAAAAAATGAGCTTTTCTTAATAAAAGGCTGCATCTCATCTTGAGCGTCTCAAAATGTACCATCTTTAGCAACTTCACCAAGTACTATTATAATTTAAATAGTATGACAGCTAATGTATTATATCATATAACCCATGGAATTAACAGCAGATAAGCATAAAATATTGAGGATGTAATAAAATTTTGATGATCTTGTTTCATTCTAACGTAACTACAAAAATATCGAAAAAAGCTTGATATTATCTTTCTAAAGTTCTAACGTAATTACAAAATATTGAAAAAGATTATCTTTCTAAAGTTATATTTATTACTATAAATAGAAAAAAAAAGATTATCTTTCTAAAGTTATATTTATTACTAGAATATAGAAAAAAGAAAAAAAACTGTTGAGTATTAAAGAACCAAGATAAAAATTGTCAAAGATATAAAAATTAAAGATATTAAAAACTAATGTATGAAATTATCAGTATTTTTTTTTTTGATCAATTATGCATAGTAGTTACAATTTGTAGACTCAAAAGAAAAACTAAAAGTTTATGGCTATTCTTAATTTATAAATTGGAAATATAAAAAAAAACTCGATAAATTTAGTTCAATTAGTCCTTTTATAACTTTTTGGATTTTCCAAATGAAAAAAAGAAATGTTATGATGGAAGCAATTTTTAAAAAATTATATCATCAGGTCAGCAAAAAATTTTTGACACAAAGATCTTACCATAAAACATAGAAACGAGGTAAGTTTTTAAATTTTTTTTTGCTTGTTTTATTTGTCAACAGACAACATCTGAATTCTTAATATCGCAAAATTGTTGTATAACATTTTTTCCTGGATAACACCCTGCACTGCTTCGATTTAGAGGTTTTAGGTTGACCTAAAAGGTACTCAAGATGTTTCAAAAGATATCAATACTCTGGGTGGGCATGAGATATATCTCATGCCCACCCAGAGTATTGATATCTTTTGAAACATCTTATAACATATTCCATTGAAAACAAAATAAAAAGCGTTCCTTTTTTGGATTTATACGCTTTTTTAAATAATCACTTTGCAAAAGAAATTTCAACTCAGTAGCGGATTAAATGTTTTTTGGTGTTTTAGATACCAAATTATAAACATAGAGTAAACTCCAAGCATTAATATGTTTATACTTGTGTCAAAACAAGAAAGTTTTGTAAAAATATTGAAATATTTGGAGCCAGGGAAACAAAAACCCCTTAAATCTTGCCCCCTGCCCTAAAGGGGAGAGCAACAAGTTCATAATTTTTGTTATAAACTATTCTTAACTAAATTCATATTAATTTAGAAATTTCAAATTTTATGAAAAAATTTTTCATAGTTCAAGAAATATGTCAATCTTAAATTTGTAACCCCCTCAAATTGAGGGGGGTTAAAAGTTTAAATGGCCGTCATTTTTGAACGCTATAAAATTATTGCACGAAATTTAAAATTTCTTATAAAAAATGAACTAAGTTGAGAATAGTAAAAAAAAAAAATTTGCTAACTTATTGCTCTCACGTTTGGGGCAAGGGGGGCAAAAAATTTGGTTTGTTATTGTTCCCAGGCTCCAATCATCCCAATAATATGCAAAACATCCTCATTTGACATAAACATAAACATATAAATGTTTGGATTTTATCTTATGTTTGGAAGTTAGCTTTCTCAAACAAAACAAAAACACAGAATCCACCACTTGTCTCAAATATATAAAAATGCCTTTGTTGTTATTTTTAACTTTATTTTAGACCTGAAAAGATCTCTGCCTTAGAACTGTTTGAAAATTTACTTTACATTTAGATATTAACATAAAAATTATACTAAAGATTTATTAAAAAAACTCCTAGTATTGTGTCAAAATGAGCTTAACAAGACAAAGGTTTCATAAAGAAAACAGGAATATAGTTTGTTTTTGCTGTCTAAATAAAGATGTAAAATGTCATAAATTAGAGAATAACCCAGCTCTACAAGAACTCATTATTTTATATGTGGATCCAGGTTTTTGTTTAAAAATCAATACTCTACCATCTGGAGTTTGTTCAACATGTAAAAAATGTCTTCATTTAAAGAAGGTTAAATAAAAGTTTGTCATTAATGCTGATGTATTGACGATATATGAAAATGTAAATATATATAAACGTATATAAAATACTATGTTAAAAAATTTTAGAATGAAGGGTATGTTTCTCAAAACATAGAAGATTTGTGGAAGATTGGAAGAATATTATTACGAAAACTAGGTAGGTTACAGAATACTAGTTTATGCACATGTCCCGTTTGCTGTATTGTAAAAGAGAAGAGAAGTCATCGAAAAATCAATCTTTCTGAATTTATTGAAGATTTAGCTAATACGCAGGAGCCCTCAGATGTAAATAACGCATCTTTTTGCACATATTGCTGCCAAAAGGTAGGTAAAGGTATCAGACACCCTTGCACAAAATCTGAAATAGTGCAAAATCTACATAAGCTCATTCTTTCTCAAGACTCAAAAACCTCCCAACAAGTTATTTCCTCTGTACTAAAAGATATGTATAAAACATCTGAAAATAACAAACTAACTGTAGCAACAGGTAAATGTGTATTTATATTTCTCTACCTATCTATATTTATTATTAATTTTATAAAATACATTTATATTAAAGTTAAACATTAGCGAATAGAACGTTTGCCATATATTTTTTGTAGGTGGTAAAGCCCTTCATGTTGCTCTCTACTCTGGAGATGTGCATAAACCTATTTTAGAAATATCTTCAGATACATTATTTAATATAAAAAAGAAAATGGATCTTCCCATGTCAGCAATGGATTGTATAATGACTGAGATACGTAAAGATTTGGGTCGTGGAGGTAACAGTAATGTAAATAAACTTTGTTTTGCATATATTCATATTACTTATATATTTATAAATTATTCTTATTTTTTTTGCTAGGTATTGAACCTAATGCCTCAAAAATTATTAAGGACAATTCTTTCCAGTTAAATCAATTTTATAAAAACGTTTTATGCAGCTTTCAAAAAACACACAACAATGGAAACTGCAAGGTTGTTGATACAATTCAAAAAGATGTTGTATTTGTTCCTGAACCGTGGGAACTAATAAAAAAGATTTGTGTACACAGAAAACTTAACCCCTACAGTTGTTTAATAAGAGTTGGTATTGATGGAGGTCAAGGTTCACTGAAAGTCATAATGAACATCTTCAACCCAGAAGAGCTACAATCAGAGAAAAGAAACATGAAAAATACAGGGGTCAATACAGTTCTTATTTTGGGTCTTGTACCTGGAGTACAAGAAAGTAATTATAATTTGGAGAGGCTTATTAAGTTACTTAAGCTAAATGAGCTAAAATACACAGTAGCAGCTGACCTGAAGCTTATTAATTGTTTACTGGGTATTTCTGTAAGTTAAACATTAATTACTTTGTGTAATTTACTGAGGATGGGGAACTTAATAAGGATATGAAAAGCTATAAAAATGTTGTTCGCCTAATTGAGGAATCTGGAGAAACTCTTGTTATTGATATAGTTCCTCCTCCTGAATTACATTTGTTTGAACATATTGTTACACAAATAACAGATGTTTTGATGGCTGAGGAGTCAATTAAAAAATTCCTAATTGGTAAAACTGTAACTAAGCACGGTTACAATGGAGGAGGATTTGATGGACCTAACTGTCAAAAAGTACTTTCTTGCTTGGATGAACTCATAACTATAGCTCCACTCCTGATGATACCCTGTATTGAGACTTTAAGGAAATTCAAAATCGGTATGTAATTAGTTAACTACTTTTTCACTTATTGTTTATAAGTAATTATAAACATAATTCCTTTGAATTTGTTCATTTTAGTGACAGAAGGATGTTTTGGAATGAAGCTTTCTCTTGAGTTCAGCAGAGATATTCAGGAATTTGTCTCAGAAATGTGCAACTTGCATAAGTATCTGATAGAATACACGACACACAAGATCTGTCTAGGTTGGAAATTTCACATCATACAGTCACACCTTGTCATGTTTCTTGAAAGAAAAAACAAACCCTTGGGAATTTTCAGTGAGCAAAGCTGTGAAGCTGTGCACAAAAATATTAACAAGACAATGAAAAGATTTGCAGCTTCAGAGCTGAGCAAATGCCATGGAGAAAAGCTTCGTAAAACGTCCGTAACCTACTCTAGTATGAGAATGTGAATAATTTAATATATAGTACTAA